TTAGGGCTCCATCATACGACGGTATCAGACGAACATAGGGGTGAAGCTCTGAGCCCTCACAATCCTTCAAACGCAGTCACAGAGAGGGAGAGAGAGAGAGAGAGAGAGAGAGAGAGAGAGAGAGAGGAAAAAAAAAAAGAAAGGAGCTCCCGATCATTTTCGGCAGCAGAAGCACTGTCGGCATCACGACCGGAACATAACTACTGAAAAGAAGAACAACAGGAAGCCCAGACCCTAAAGTTTTCATCAGAGAGTGCATTGCTTTGTGAAACTTCCATCATCTCTGTAAGGGCGTGAAGTACGCAAGCTTCTCGTTTTCCTGAACTTACATGCCCCAGCATGTTATGGAAGCTCCGTTCTGAACTTCGATCTCGCGCGACGTTTTCGCTCTCAGACGACCTTCGCCTTGCAGGTCTACGAACATCTACAAACCCTAAACAAGAGGTAGCAAGAAGGGTGTCAATGCTGGAAGCACGTTGCGAGCGCGCTGCACTCCGGTGATGTTGGGTTTGGTGCTCCCGCTTCTTCAAAGAACTCTCCCTCAGGTTTTGAGTCAAGCTGGTATGACCGCCCATAAAGGCCATGTGCAGCACCCTTTGCTTGTACTGTGGGAACTTGCATCATCTACGTGAGAGCTACTGCTGTAGGCACGGTGCGATCTGTGATCACAAGATAGCAGGAGCACCATGCCAAAGTCATCCTCGAGGCAGCGATGTGAATGGGCAGCTTCTCTCTCCAGGCAGAACCGCTGTGTCGACGAGTGCTCCAACAGGTCCAACAGGCTCTTACATGGAGCAAAATGTTTGTTTGCACCAAAACATTGGACGCCGTCCGCAACACAAAGCAAATCCGAGCTACTTGAACAACGGGCAGAACAAGATCTGCTGGTTGGGGCTTCCACCTCGAAGGCTAGCACAAGGACATGAAGTGAACGGGTGTGGGCAGGTTTTTTCTCCACATGACGCACATCAAGTAGTACGTAGTATCACTATAGAAGTGAACTGATCCAGTACTATGAAAATGCATAACTATATATATATATATATATATATGTATATATATATATATACATATATATATACAAACACACATATGAATGTGTGTGTGTGGGGGGAAACAAACGAATTCATAAATACTCAAACCTAAGAGAGAGAGAGAGAGAGAGAGAGAGAGAGAGAGAGAGAGAGAGAGAGAGAGAGAGAGATGGAGATAGAGATGGAGATAGAGATAGAGATGGCAAGGGAGAGAGGGAGACACGGAGAGGGATACATCCAAGGAGCAGGATACCAAATCCAGGCATGGCTGCACAAAGCACTGCAACGTCAAGTGAACTGAAATCGCTAAAACGGAGAATGGGACACAAAGCAACACACGACGACGCGTAGGCTGCGTTGCACACCAAGCCGGTTCTTCTAGAACAAGCAGGTGCCATGGTCATGCAGCCACGCCGACGGCTTCTGAAGATATCCTGTCCTGCTTGGAGCGCTGGCATGACACAGCGGGACGAGGACCCAGACATGCCGAGGCCACGCGCAAGTTCACGTAGCCTTTTCTGTCAGGAGGCCCCAGAATTCCCCTTTGACAGGGTGTATCAGCTTCGACAGTTGCGGAGCCTTGTAAAAATTGCCGCGAGCTAGCTGCGGGCAAGTAGGGAAAGTACGCCAGTTCCCGCCGTCTCGCGCGCACGTTGAGCTTTGCCGGACAGCCAACCTTTTTATCTCATCAAGCTTTGTCACATGATGTGCCCTGCGCCGAAGTTAATTAAGTAGGGTGTAAGTCGCCTGAAGATACTGGGCTCATATGCGGCTATCTATGTACACTTCTGAACCCTGCACCCTTGACATCGACTGCTTCTTTAACTGCAACATGCCCTGCAAGGGATTCCGTGTGGGGATGCAGGGATGTTTGCAATGATTCGCGGGTATTTACGGCTTCAAAGGCTCAGGATCTCGACTTTCGAGGAAGCGTAGCTTGAGGTACGTCCAAAGCCTACCAACCTTCTGCACCTTGGAAGTAAAGCCCATAAATCCTAAACCCCTATAAACCCCCCTGAAGCCTAAACCCCTTATACACACCATCAACCCTAAACTCTAAACAGTCAGGTTTACCACATGGCTTCTCAGCGCACAGAAGACCTGCGAGCAGGCTTCCTACGGTGAAGCCAGGGCAGGCGCCAGAGTGGACCGAAGAAGACTTGCGAAGCTGCCCAAAACCCTATTCTAATTATTAGATCCGTGTATGTCATGCTCGTGTGGAAGGAACCATGCTGTCTGTTCGAACCCGTCGACGATCCTAATGTAACAGGTGCATACACAAATTCCATGCAGAGCTATCCTGAGCTCAACATGCATGGCAAACGTCTAGCACGACCTCTGCTGCTTTCCTTCTATAGCTCTCTCTGTCTCATGCCACTGCAGGTGTCGGCCTCCTGGTATATGTATTTATACATACACAGTTCATACCCATACATACCTATATATATATATATACACATTTATTTATACACCCACACTCATCTGTCTCGCTGTCTCTCTCGTGCTATGCGTTCGGTATGCCTCTGGTCTCGGCGTCTGGTACATGCTTCGAGCATGTCGAGTAAGGTTCTTGGACCAGTCTTTCCGCTGCCCCTGCCTCCGAGATCTCCGAGCAGCGAAGAGGTCACGGAATGTAACGTGGGCGCGACTGTATGCATTTGCACGACCCCGTTGCCCTTGAAGGCCTGGTCGGGCCATGCCCTGAACCTAAACCACATAACATCGCCTCCTGCATGAACATCTTCCGAGGACCCGGTGGTGATCGTATATAGCTCATAGAGAGAGTCCAGCCAAAAGCTCAAGGTACATACGGATGTCGTGCAGGCGAGGCCACTCAACGGGGCGTTCTGCCCGTGTGTGTAGACCTGCTCTGCTTTCACGTTGACCTGAGCGTTTAGTGGGCGCGAAAATTGCACGGATGAAATCGGACAGACGGACAAAAAAAACGACCTCAGAGAGCTATGAAATGGAAAAGCAAGCCAATTCGCAAACATGCAAGGACGTGGGCGCGGGCACCAGAGCCAGCACAGGCCAGCAGACCAAACGTGCCACAATGTGATAATATGGGACACCCAAAACAAATACGGGGAAGGAAATAATTCCAACCTAATTCCCGAACGTGACCCCTACCTTCGCTGGTGCAGCCAAGTGACAAGGAAAAAATAGGCGAAACTTTCTCACAGCAAAAGCGCAGTCCTCGCGACCGGACAGACGAAACAGGGATCCGTCAAATGGCCGTATTAGCCAGCCAAAAACTGTTCGGATTGTTTCACCGGCGAGGCAAACAAACATGTCCAGAGATGGAAGAGAAATTGCAAGGCAATGCGAAGTAGGGCTCTGTAATGCTGATTCTCGCGGCTCCTACGCCCCCGAACCAGTATTGAATTAGTATTGCGATGCACCAAGGGAGATTCACGATGCTTTAGGCAGGAACAGTTGCTGCGTCAGTCCAGCCCCTGACAGCCTTGTGTCCAACGGGAGTGAGCTGGGTCGCCATATGCCTATTTGCTGCAAACTCTGCCCACCTGACATCCACAGTTCCAAATGCTGACACCCTTGACATGGTGGAGAAAACACCCTAGTGCCCAAGTATCGCTGCTTGGCACCTAGGCATGTAGATGATGGGCTCCTAGAGATTTCATTCTATGGTGGCCTGTATAAGCCTTGGATGGCTACTTCTGGCCGGTCGACCTGCGACCTCCCACAGGAAACGAAAGAGCCCTATAACCCTATAAAAGCCCAAAGATGTCGGCCTCAAGATCTGCTGCGATGAGGGCACTACTGCACTTGCACTTCTCCGGATTGGATCCTTGGCTGCGCATGTTGCGTTGGGAAGCACGTGGCTTTCGAAGGTCAAGTGCAAGCTAAAGAAGAGGCTACAGCCTACAGCGGTTGTGAACATGCCACCTTCATTTCCTCCATCTCGGTCCGATGCCAGCAAAACCCCCTGACTAGGTGCTTCATAATTGCTCCGAGGGTTAGAGAATGTCGAGACATATAGGAATGCAGCTTGGTGTATCACAAGACACAGCATTGGCCAAATTCTTGAAGGCGCAGTCAGGCTGTTGATCTGATTCGCTTTTCCTACAGGGTCGTCGAATCCAATCGAACGTGCCAACCGGAGGAATGTGAAGGATCCTACATAAATCCTAAACACCCCTAAACCCCAAATCCTGATGCCCAACCCCTAAACCCTAAGCACCCCTGTTGTGAGCAGGGGCTGCAGGGCACATACCACCCTGCACACCCTAGCCCTGAACCCTTTTCAGCACGGGCTTTGGTTGTATGCCGGCAAGCTGGGCTCTCAAGGTCTTTAGAGAACCCTTTTACACCTGGAAAAACCCTAAACCCTCAACCCTAAACCCAAAACCCTAAATTTTAAACCCTCGATCCTAAAGACACCCGGAAGGGAAGTCCCTCAGTCAAGAAACAGAGGTCGGCCTCCAACCGGGCCAATTCGCAAAGCTTCCTGCGCCAAAGTTGCAGCACAACATGGGAGTTTCCGAAAATTGGGGGGATACCTTATTTCGGGATCTCTATAATAAGGATCCTACCATGCAGGGTACTATCTTAGGGGAAGCCCGCGGGTTAGGCAAAGATAGCTTAAAAGATAAGACTATGTGGGAGCCTAGTTTAAGATAAGCGAATTAAGCAAACTGCATCATATCATCTTCTAGTATACTGTATTGTATTATATATTAAAAGTTATACTATATATATCATACTGCGTTACACTGTACTATGTTATGTCTTAGGATTTGAACAACTTCTGGAATGCGATAGCTATGTCACACTGAACGAGCCAACTCGGGCGGCTTATGACATGCCTGTTCTAAGTTCTAAGCCGAAGGAACCCGAGCTCAAACCTCGGCTTCAAGTTGCTTTCTTACAAAAATTCCAGACTCTCAACCTTCGATGCGAACCTCAAGGCCGTTGCAGCTGTGATAACGTTCGTCCTCGAGAGGTTCACTCGTAGCCTTCTTGATGCACCATTGGCATCGGTCCCTCAGCTCCGGTATGTTCATGGAAGGACGTTCTGCGGCACGAGCAATTGCTGCAACTGCCACAATGATTCCACGGAACACTGCTGTAAATACAAAGACAGACCCCAATAATCTAATAGGTTTTTATAGGTTTTTTGTATAAACTTCGCGACAAGGAATTTTGACCACTGCCCATAACAGACAACATGGAGCATAAATTTCTGATGCTTGCCAACAATCTCGAGAAGCAGGACGCCTTAACTTCCTCTTTTGCGAGACATGTGCCGATCACCCATGCTGGACCTCGAAGCCAAAATCCCAAAAGCATCGACTGACTGAAATCGACGACCCACAAAACCCTATAAACCCTAAACCCTAGACCCCTAAAGCAGCAACCAAAACAACGACATCTGATGGCAAATCAATTCCGAGAAGCTGCCATACCTGGGGCATACATGCCTGGCCGGAGGATCCCCAGCTCGTAAAACCTACGGTTGGTGATATAAATCCTGCATTACCCATAATAAGGAACATACCATAGTTCCCATAGTTTAGGGTCCTTAAAGGTAATGCAGGATTTATATCATCAACAGTATGTACCCGAACAAAAGCTTGCAGTGGTAGGATCCCCTTTTGAATGTCGAAGAAGTTGTACGTAAATGATCCGCTTAGGGATGGTCTGAGCGGTTCGGAACTTGATTCAAGGATGCTGTGCAGGCCGCAGCCGATGTCTTGCGAAACTCCAGACTGCTGTGTAACGGGAGTTCCATGCCCAACATCAAGGTTGAGGGTTTATGCTGAAGGAGACAAGATCTTGTCTGACGCTGTCATGTCTGTCAGGGAAGTTGAGGCTGCAGGTCGCGCCGGATGCCCTGTGCACACTGATCTTGAAACTCAGAATGCAGTCGCTCGATCTAATATTAGCAGCCGCAATCCCACAGTCTCCAGGACGTGGGGAGCTGAGGGTTCAGCAAAACACGACAAGCTGTACCATCGCTACCTCGACGCGAAACTGCGAAACTCTCAGAGTCAGATGACAGCTCAGCCGGTAGGTTGTTGGGTTGCTTTGGTCTGAGCTTCCAGCAAGCGATGGCTTGCCTCTACTCGCTCGGACCTCGGCCACTCCTTTCCTATCTTGTTGAACATGTTGCCAACATCTATGTACACATTGAACACCAGGGCCTGACTATGTCAGCAAATGCCAGACCGCAAGCACTCTTGCTCATGCCCGTACGATTCTGAAAAGCCGAACGCCCCCCCCCCCCCCCCCCCCCCCCCCCCCCCCAAACCCAAACCTTGTGGCATCGTTTCGTGGCCCATGACCAGGTACGGCGCCGGCTGAGGCACTCCTGCGAACACTGCGTCGCTAACAACTGCTGCGACTCATGCTGACAGATTGCACAAGCAGGCTGGTCTGTGCTGTTGCCGCTCCCCTCTTTCCAGTCAGGACCCTGAACAAAAATGACCAAGTCCACGTCAAAGCCGAACTTACTGGAATCAAGAACGTCTGCTTGGATGGGAGCTCTTCTCAAGGCTGTATCCATCAAAGTATGATCAGTTAAGTGTGGCGGTCCTGGTGCCCAGTGAGGCGGCGCCATGCCTCAAGGTTTGTGATCTGAACAAGCTCTGGGTAAGAAACAGCTCTACAGTTGAACCACAGAGATTGCACAAGTTAAGACTAACAACATGTGTTGCACAAACCACCTGCAATACAAGTCATGTGAGTTTTTTCGTTTGTGCACGCACACAGAGAAGGACTCATCATTCAATAGCGCTAGTTCGTTTCATTCAGCAACACGAACACCCTGAGACCTACCGCGATCAGTGACCAGCACCAGCACCATGACGATCCCGGGTTGCATCACGGCCATCAACTCACAGTCATGTGATGTCCGCCAAAAAGATCAGCAACATCATCGGAGAGCTATGGAGAGAAGCCATGATCAGCAGCATCAGTATGTTTCATCCTGGTCTCCAGGGCCGTCGTACGACGACAAGGAACAAGTAATGCAAGTAGAAGCAACGAAAAACCGGAAAGTCTTGCGCGAAAGCAACATCAGAACAAAAGCCAGGAGCACAGACTAGGCCGTGAACATGAATTATGGGAGCATCAACTTACAGAACCAAGGCACAAGCAATCAGAAGCCTGAGACAAAAGAGAACGTGAGAACCGTTAAACCGATCATAAAGGGAACATGAAGATCACACCGGCTGAATATGAGAAACGAAATGTAGTAAGCGTCACCCGCATTTCTTATAACAGTGGGAAGAAATGACCACACGAGGGCATCCAACATCCGAATTGTGTATGCGCATACCTTGCAGGTGGAAAGTACTTGTGCTTCTACGATGACTTTCGACTTGCATGTCATAACTGCCGTCACAACCTTTCAGAAGCGGCAGTTCGGGGTGCCGGGGGTTTGGAATGCACACGCAGCACTAAACGATCTGCCACTACTTGGCCTTCTGAATCTGTGGTGGGTGCGCACGGGTGAACAGATCCCAGCCGTGAGCTCACGGTATGTGCATTAGTATAGGGGCCCACAATACCACAATTATCATAAGGACCCCCCGCAAAACAAATGAGTTCTCTATAGTATGTGCAGTATGCTCTTACCCCAAAAGTCTCTGCTTGCCGACACAGCACCAGGCCAATGTGCATTCGGGTCCGGTGCCCAAGCTTGTCCTTGTAACATCACCACAGCCCGTCGACTTCTTGTGAGGAGTTTGCGAACTTTCCGGTGAAGGGCCAAGCCTCTAGAGTCTACCCTATACAATGTAAGCCATATTCCTTAGTTCCCTTATAGATCCCTGTAAGGAACCCTTTATAGAGCTTTTGCCGCGAGTTCAAGACTTTCTCCGAGCACCGGTGAATGCTGATTTGGTCTCATACGTCCGGTAAAAAATGCTTTCAAGATCCGAAAGCCTGAGCCCTCAAGCCAAGACCTTGACAATCCATATAGCCTTTGCTGTCGCTGGAACCTGGAGCTATTACTCTTCGAAATCGCCAGCTTTCGCCGGTGAAGCCCTGTCCTGCTGGAGACCACTGGCACCTGCAATGGTTGATTCGGACTCTGCAGGCAGTCGAGGCTGGTTCGGAGCCCCAACGGTTGCTTATCAAAGGTTTTGGGTTAAGGGTCGGAGAAGGGTGTGATGCTCGTGAAGGCTTATGCGGTTTCTCAATGCACGAACATGTCACATACGTCACATCCAATACCCGTACTTTGCGGCACGGTAACGAGAACAAAAAGCATCCAGCCAAGGAAAAGGGCTCTCACACTGCTCGTTACCAACCTGTCCCGGCCTGCTCGCCAAATACGGCAATGTAGAGAAGTGAACTTCGAGACGAGGACACAGTACGACACAGTGACCGGAAGAGGAAAAGCTAGGATTGAAAAATAGACCTAGACTGCCAGACTTCCACTGCCATGCTTGCTTGGTGAGCTGTAGACAGGATGCTCAACGAATGCAGTCGGGCAAAGCACAACTGCCGCATCGAAGTCTTAAGGCCGTCTCAAGCCTATTTGCTGAAGAGAACTAGATACTGGAGCCCCAAAAGCATCCAGAGCCCATGGTCGTGCTGTGTCTGCAGGGGCTGCATGGTAGCGGCTGGCCCCGAAATTTGCAAGCAAGAGCTACCGAACCCTGGACACCGGAAGTGCATGCGAGCATGCGGGACGATGCTTTCCTGAAAACCCTCTCACCCGAAATGCCCTGAAACACAGCTGCCGCAACCCGGGCGCTGGTAGCCAGCTGCATCGACTGGTGGCCACGGTGCTGGAGCCGGCTGACGAGACCTGGGGCGCCATCCGGCTTCAAGGACACCCTTGCAGGATGAACACAGATGTGTGTATATGTATATAGTATATAGTATATAGTATATAGTATATGTATATACGTATGTATAAGCATTTGCATATGCATATTGTATTGTATATGTATGTAACTATGCATGTATGTACGTAAACCGTACGTATGTATGTAAACCAAAAGATAGACACATACATAGACCGACGGAGGGATGCAAACACACACACACACATATATATATATATATATATATATATATATACATACACCTATACATGTCTGTGTGCACAAGACTCATAACAGGACGCAAGCTGGCGACATCTGAGCTCAAGCACAAATGGTCATGTTTAACCCTTATTGAGGCCTATATAAAAGCAAGACCCTCAAGGAGCCAAAGGTGCACTTGACTCTGCATTCGAAGCCTCCCTCGTCACTTGGGCTGGCAGGGTTTACAATTATCATTTTTGTGACTCTCACACTCGGCAACTACCAGGCGAGGTCTCGAGGCAATACAGACCTAGTGGGGTTTAATGCTCTTCACTTTCTGGCCAAGGTCTGCGCTATATATATGCATATATATATATATGTATGTGTGTATGTGTATGTGTACATATATATATATATATATGTACACATACATATATATATATATATATGGAATCCCAGGGCTTCGAGCTTCAGACTGCACCATCTGGCTTGGTTCTGAGCTCAAGGCATACAGACATGCATGTGACATGCTTGGTGCTTCGGGTCTTGAGGCTGCAAGGAGCAGGAAGCACGACAGCAAGAACAGACTCAACCCAAAACGTCGCTGGGCCCTGCACATGTCTATGGCCACTTGCGCTGCCATTGGAGACCCCATCGGCGTCATAGACCCGACGGGCATGATCCTGAGTTCAAGCTTTGGACGCGCCGCTAGATCTATCTCGTGGCTTCAAAGTAATTACGCACTCGCACACATACACAAACATCGTGCATATAGACATGTAGATTCATGTAGATTCTGGACTTATGTAGTCGAGGTGCACCGAACCCATAGAAAACAATGAGACTCACGAATCTGTGCTTGGATATGTTCGCCAGATGATGCCGGCATAAGTAATTATGCAACCTAACTCCAGGACGGGCTTGTTGCCTGAGGAGCACTTTGATACCCTCGAAAAAGCTGTTGTTGGAATTGGGCTGCCAAAAACCATTTTCACGAGAAGCACGCAGCCCCTAGAGGTAGGTGGCTGTGAACCCTTGAAAGACGGATGCTTCCCAACAGGTCAGGCTCAGCATACAGGCATGACGGAGCTGCCCAGGCAAACCATTACTTCTTTCATTCTGGATGTGGCTCTCATCCTGTAAGCCTCACCAAGAAACGAGACTTAGACATGCACAGCGGAATTGGCGACGGATGATCGAGCAAAAAGCAAGTCTTTCTTGTACTAGTAGTAACCGTACTAGTTCACCACATGAAATCGAGTGGTTAAAGTGGTCCCTTGCAATGAAGCAAGGTGCGTGGGCGTCTGCGGCAGCAGTGTCCTGCAGCAGCAGATGGGTTTGCGAGAAGCTTGAACTACGAAAGAAGACTGCAACTGCCTCGTGGATGCATCGCCAGTCGGAGAACCAACGGGCATGATAGTAGCGACTGAGCCTCAGTTTCGAACAAACTAAACAGATGCACAAGAAGCTGTAGACGTAAGCGTGCTTGAGTGCCTTCTGCCTATGCACGCGCATTTGTATCGAAGGTGTCTGTGTGTTTGCGCGTGTCCCATTAAGTGTGCATGGATCCATGCTGCATGCATGCTTCTACGCAGGCAAGCAGGAAAGCAGGCGGCCAGCCAGCCGGGCATTCGTGTATGTGTGTATGTGTGTCTATGATGTATGCATGAACGCATGTATCAATGCATGTACCTAATATATGTGTGCGTGTGTCCGTGTGTGTATGCCTGCATACATATATGTACATATATGTGCATATGTATATATATATATACATATACATACAGAAAAACATAGAGAGGGAGCAGAGAGAGACAGAGAGAGATAGAGAGAGAGAGAGACAACAAACAAACAAACAAACCACGAACATTAGGTTATGTCATGCATGCAATGCAAAAAACGACACGACGCAGCTTAATGCAATGAACCGCATGCAGTACAAGATACTGCAATCAACTACTTGCGTCTCTGCATGTACATGGCTTGTTTGTGGATTGTGGACAGTATTTGGAGCTGGCGTGATGGCGCTTGGTCGGATGCTTTTGCGATCTCGGACGGGACGGAGGTCTTAGGATTTGTTGTTCAGGTTTTTCTGGTACTGACTCCCGCTTTATGGCAATGTAAAGTATTAGCACCCCTGTGAACGAACACCTGGCCCCTGGCCCGCAGCAGTTCAAAGCCAGGCTCAAGATTCAAGAAACTGCCAACACCCCCCCAATAGCCCCTTAATTGAGCCCTCATTGTCCTTTATAGTGGGTATTCAGGGTATATTAGAGGGTAGTTGGGGGGCTCTAAGCGCGTCCAGGGCTTTCTTGCTGTGAAGCGGCCACCATTCATTGGAGATCCGCAGGGGGCTGGGGTTACGCCTGCTCCGTGTGCCGATCTAAGCATGTGTTGAACAGTCTAGGTTTCATTCGGTAGTTGTGCACTGGCCTTGGAAGTCAAGGGAGATGCATTTTGTAGGAAGATGCACGGACTGCGGTCTCGCTGAATGTAGATTCTTTCATGTAGGGGGGCCCTTCATAATCTGAATAGGGTTGTTGGGGCCCCTTCTACTATATCTAAAATAAGGAACCCCCAAATAGTATAGGGAACTATCAATTAAATATTAAGGCCCCAATACAAGTTGTGATAGTGTGGGATAGCCTCCTAAAGCGTCCTGAGGGCACGGGAACTTACGGGACAAAAGCAACATAATTTCACAGAATCTCAGGGGGCCCTGTGAATAAACCACAACACATCTTGCGCCTGTTTAAACAGCAAGCCAAAGTCTGGAACACAATGACGTCGTGCATATTAGGGGTTAGGGCTCGGACTCAGCCAAAGAACTTTATATGAGGCCACCAACCGCTTGATGCTGCTAGTCACCTACTCATCCTTACTATTCCTCCTCCTGCTTCTCTTCCTCTCCGCAGTAGCAGTCGATGTCTTCTGTTAGAAAGACGATGGTTCTGACTGTGAAAGTGTGAACGGAAAGCAATCTCTCCCTCAAGTCCGACATCTCTCCCTCAAGTCCGACATCTGACTCTCGTGCGACATTGTAGCAAGCGTGGGGTGCTTGTTTGGCCGAGCAGGGCTTACAAGGGCCATGGCTGATGATGCAAAGATTTAAATATTGCTAAGGTCCGCCCTTCGACACCAAGCCTTCAACGAGGGTCCCCCAAACTCTAAAGCCTGAGTCCCAAACCGCAACACCCCAAAACCACCATACAGAAACGGAGCTGGTCCAGGCGAGCGTCCCAAAGCACCCGGAGGCAGGTAAATTGGCTGTGCCCTCAGGGAGCAGGCTCTCAGGCTTAGGCTGCGAATATAAGGGCCTAAATCATTACAATTTTTTTTTGTTGGGGGGGGGGGGGGGGGGGTCTTTATTCGAATGATAGTATACTTTCTAATGATAGTATACTGTGCCCCAAAACCCGATTTTAGTTACTGAGGCCTTTATATTAGATCCCTTCGACGGGCTCTGAATTTAAGGCGACTTCAGGAACAGGACACGAAATCCGCCATTCAAAGGAATCTGCGGGTTGCCATGATTAGATAACTCCTGCTATTCAGAAACGTCTTAGACATCGCCGAAGAACTGTGTCCGACAAGATTTTATCCGGAATCCAAATTAAATGGTCTATCTATCTATCGATCGGTCTATATATATATATATATATATATATATATATATCATTATCTGTCTATAGCGTCTCCCGTTTAGTTCCTCATCCGGGTTAACCAACTTTGTATTATAGGGCCCAAGTGCCCTGAAATATAGGTATTGGCTGTCCCGGTAGATCAAACAAGAATTACCATGGAGACTACGTGAAATCACTATCAAAACTCATCTGGCTACAAGTGTCGTCGTTTAGGATGTCCCTTCGTTACAAAGCCTTTCGACATTCATTGCAGCAGTGGTTGGTTTCGGGTCATGCTGTTTCTGGCTCTAGCTTTTTATTCACAGGCCTCAAATTAAATGCCGAACCCCGAACACAAAACATTTCAGCATGATGACTCTGCCTGTCTCGCACATGCTGGATTATCGAAGCGTCTTAAGAGGCTGGAGCGTTTCCAGGCAAGTTCCCACCAAGCACCGTGAGCGACAAACAAACCATTGATGTGTGTGGACATTATGGGCTGGTGGCGTTTCTAGTCTCAGGGTTGGGTCAGGGAATCTGGATTGACCCAAGTTCGGCATACTAGTCACAGTCGTCCTCCAGGTCATTTTGACAATATCATAATATCAGTATACATGGCTATCTTGTTCTGTCTTGATCTCTCTCTCTCTCTCGCTCTCGCTCTCTCTCTCTCTCTCTCTCTCTCTCCCTCACGCTCTCCCTCTCTCATATCTACGTGCACGTATGCCACAGAACCTTTTGCATTATCCTACATGACATGAAATGGCTCTCATATTTCTTAGCCGAGAGGAGCATCAATAATCTCGGAACACATGCGCTAGAAGGAGGAGGAAAGCCCACGTACTCATAAACGAGTGATCCTTAGAATAAGGCTCCAGTCGAAGAAAACCTGACAATCAACACGAAGCCTACATACACCCACCCAGTCTCTCATGCAAACCCAGCTTCACATGACATGAAACCCCGCTTTGGCTCACATGGGAAAAGGTATGTAATATAGCGGCCTGAATAGGGTTTTGGTGGGCTCCCTATTCTGATCGCAAAGTATGATGTAACAATACCCTCCCACCCCCCCAAACCTATTCTAATCATTAAGGCCGCCTGTATTACTGTGGATGCCCTCTCCCGAGCCTGGGCTGCTCGATTGGCGAGGTGCTCATGATACCTGCGGACAAGCAGGGGCGGCATGGGCTTATAGGATACGGGAGTTTCCGAAAATAAGGGGTACCGTATTTTGGCGTCATTATAATAAGGATCCTATTATTTAGGGTACTGTATGGTTTTCGGAAACGCCCAATACAGGTGCATGGGGTGTACAGTAGAGGCTGCAGGATCTAAGGTGCAGGACCGTTTAAGTAAAAGTTCGGGCTTGAGGGGCTTGGGATGAAAGCTTGGGACCGAGTCTTCGAGGTTTAACCAAGTACTACCGAGTGACTGTACCGTCCTGACTATCCGATACTGATGCCTTGGACAAGTTCAACTCACCAGGCGTCTCCCTTGGGGTTGCTTAAGTTATAGCGGCGTCTGTGCCAGGAGCGTCACAAATTGCTCAGAGCGCCCACCTTTACCAACGGATGGTGCTTCAATGCTTCCGAAAGGTCAGTGGCACTCGCAGTTGCAGCGCAAAGAGTGCCAGCAACTACAGCCAGCCCTCGATAACAAGTAACAAGCCCATGATATCCGAAGCTCTTGATTATAGTATCCTTAAGGGAGGGACATAGCCTAGTGATCCCTAATCCTCCCTGGTACTCCCTAAGGTTCCCTTAAGGTTCCCTAAGGATTCCTTATACCCTCCCCCCTTGAACCCCCCTCCCTTAAGGATCCTATAACTTGAGGGCTTCGGAGTTGGCCCTGGCTTCTTCCCCAAGGTGTTGTTTAAGGTACCAGGTTTAGGGTTTAGGGGTTTAGGGGTTTAGGGGTTTAGGGTTTAGGGGTTTAGGGTTTAGGGTTTAGGGGTTTAGGGGTTTAGGGGTTTAGGGTTTAGGGTTTAGGGTTTAGGGTTTAGGGGTTTAGGGGTTTAGGGGTTTAGGGTTTAGGGTTTAGGGTTTAGGGTTTAGGGGTTTAGGGGTTTAGGGTTTAGGGTTTAGAGTTTGTGAAACCACATTCAAGCTCATTCCTAAACCAAAGACAGACAGGAAAATCTGGGATAGTCCTAAACATCTCACCCACCCTGAACTTCTTAACTCACCAGAAACCTTACGCCCCAAAGCCGTAAAACACAAAACAGCATCTCAACCTCAAACCCCTAAAATCCAAGCACACATTCAAAGCCCTGCTGTATCTGGCGAATCAATTGACCCCCAAAGCCGTCTATATAGGCTCGCATAATGCAACCCCTAAGCAACAGGGTAGTGTGGAGCCGAAAACACGGCCCCAAAAAAGCACATAAGCAAGGAATAGGATAGGGATATCCCATATAAACCACCCTTATCATGAAGCCCATTAAGGTAGGGAAACCCCTCTAAAATTCTTATGCTTATGTGCTTTTTTGGTCCCTAAGAAACCACCCGTAGCCTTGCCACGGAGACGCCTCAACGGCCTCGGGCACCGGAGTGGTACGGTTGATGATCTAAATCCTGCATTACCCATAATAAGGAATGTACCATAATTCCCATAGTTTGGGGGTCCTTAAGGTAATGCAGGATTTATATCATCAACAGTATTTCCGGTGGCTTTGTGCATGAGCTCAGGCTTCTGGGGATGGATTTTATTCGCGGTCTGGGGCTTAAGGTTGTAAGGGTCTGGGGGTTTGGGGTTTTGGGCGGCTCAGGTTTAGTGGGTTGAATCCCTTCGTATAATTAGGTCGAAGCTCTGTTCTGAATTCTGATTATTGAGGCCTTTCTATGAAACTCGTATTCCAAGAACCATGTGTATTAATTAAGTGGAGGGTCTTTGGCCTTGTCCTGCACTTTGCTGCGTGCAAAACACCGCAGCTCTAGGCAGGTCCATCAAATAAGGCGTTGCCAACGCCATGCGAAAAAACTCTCGAAACTGAACCCCAATCGCCCCAGCCTGAACCTAAGCTCCCTCATCCTCAACCATGGAATGCGGCTAAATTACCCGTACAGAGACGTCAGACCTTGTTCCCTCAATTCACAATTGCTCCTAACTCCTAAGCCCGATGCTTCTCGCACCCAAACCCAACATAAAAACAACACACTCATGGTTGCAGTAACCGCCTCGGGGAAGGGATGTATAGAGCTACTACATCAGAGTTTCGAAACTAAGGGATCCCATTATGGTACCCGAAATAGTAGGATCATCATTATAAGGCCCCCAAATCAGGCACCCCTACTTTTCCGAAACTCCCATATTGCAACGTCGCACAAAGAGACCCCTGGCTCACACATTGGCCACTTGGCGGGGCAGCACACCGGAAGGTAAGGGCTGCGCATGTGTGCATCAATCGTGTTGAAACGCAATGGACAGCGTTGTTTCGGAACAGGCACCCAACCCAACAGACGTTGCGAACGAAGAAGCATGAATTTTACAGCACCAGCACCAGCACCACCAACAATAACGGCGGTGGCAGCGGCGGCAGCAGCAGAAAAAGTAGCAGTAGCAGCAGCAAGAATAACAGTTGCAAGGAGCAAACAAAGGACTGTAGCAATAGTTCCAAAGACCTTTCTCACCCACACCCCCTCCTAAACCTCCTGGTTCTGTGTAAACCTGATATGCAGCCGTAAACGCTTGAGAACCCTGAAAGCACCCAGAGACTCCAATATCCCTTAATTAAGGAATATTCCTTAAATTATGGTAGGATCCCTAATATGATTTAAGGAATATTCCTTAATTAAGGGATATTGGAGTCTCTGTGTAGCCTTCTGCTGTCTGTTGCAAAAGCACCCTCCGAGGCCCTGGCTGGGCATGGATGACCCTGCCTAGGAGGAGGGGAAGCGCTGCCGCACCTTCGAACATGCAGGCTTTGTAGGGACCCAAAAAAGCACATAAGCAAAAAATAGGATAGGGATATCTCATATAAACCCCCTTATAATGAAGCCCAATAAGGTAGGGATATCCCCATAGAATGCTTATGCTTATGTGCTTTTTGGGTCCCTAACTTTGGCCCTTTTTGTTTTGAGGGCTTAGGGTTTGGGTTTAGGACTGTAGGGTTTCTGTTGACGCTCACACTCGGCAATACCAGGCGGGGTCTGTAGAGAGTCTGGAGGTTGAAAGTTCAATGTGTCATTATCCATGGTTGACTGTACGTAAGCTCAAGCTTGGCTTTGCAAACTTCACTGTCATGTCGCGGTCACTCGTAAGCCACAGCCAAATATCAACCCATAAGCCCCGACATAGTTGCGGTACCAGGGAAAGCCACTGTGAAACATCGTGAAACTACAGGGAAGTTCACTTGCATACATACCCTCACAACTCGATGGTAGCCGCTGAAGTTATAGCTGCAGCCAGTGTTCGACTCCATGCGTTGCAGGGTTTAGGGGCTTAGGGTGTTTTTCCCTCCGGGGGCGTAGGGTTTAGGGTTTAGGGTTTTGGTTTCAGGGCCCCGTTTCCTCCTTGGGTTCAGGCTCAGGGCGTAGGGGCATTGGCGCGTCTGGGCTCCGGGTTTGGCATGCTTCTGTAACTCTTCCGGCGGTTTTGGCGGCTAGGGATTTTCGGGTCTCTGGAGCAGGTGAACGAAGGACTCCGATCCAAGTAGGTGCGAAGCAGCCGAGCTGTCTGCCGCTGCTGATGGAGGATGCAACATAAGATTTTTGCGGACCGCTGTCACATCTCCGCTTATTAAGTATCTGGGTATTGCAGCAAGCCAGAACAGCACATGTAATACAGAGCACGGTGCTAATTGGACTAGAAGTCAGAAGAGACCCACAAGACGTGCCCAGCTCGAAAAGACCCCTTGCTATATCGAAGCAGGACCCGGGCGACTGCACAGCCAAGTGACGGGAGTCCGATGTCTGCAATGGTGACCTGGCCGGACAAAGCTTCAGACTAGGGCAAACTCTCAGGATTATTGTGGAACCAAGATTTGAGTTCTATGAGCCCGGGAGTCAAAGGTCCAGGGTGCATTGGCACTCACTGCTGGGCCCAGACAAGAGGATCGTGTAAAGGCGCCGAGAAGCCTGAAGACCAAACTCTAAACCCTAAACCCTAAACCCCCGGGTGCATCAAAGGCACCACGGATCCAGGCAGCTGCGTAGGCCTTTGCTCGGCTCCGCTTCTGAATTCTTATCCCCGCAGAGTCGCGGCACCAGTACTATTTGTAGCAGCAGCATATGTAATTATGCCTTTAATTTCGATTACCCATGAACGACCTGCTGCAGCTAATCATCAAGCCGCAAAAATGCAAACTGAAGCCCGAAACCTCAGATGCCGCTCAAGAAGATCCCTCAAAGACTTCAGTGTTTTGGGGGGTCTCTGTGAAGGACCCACACGAGGCTCAAGTGAGTCTTTCGTCACCGCTGAAATGAAATTGTGAAGAGCATCGCCCGGAAGGTTTCGTATTCATGAGTCCTGGAGCTCGTAAACAGCAACTAAGACACCGTCTTCGACATTGCAGAAAACAATACTGTTACTACTACTACTACTACTACTACTACTACAACTACTACAACTACTACAACAACTACTACTACTAGTACTACTACCACTACTACCACTACTACGACTACGACTACTACTGGTACCAGTGCCAGTACCAGTACGAGTACGAGTACGAGTACTACTACTACAACTACTACTACTACTACTACGACTACTATTACTACTACTACTACTACTACTACTACTACTACTACTACTACTACTACTACTACTACTACTACTACTACTACTACTACTACTACTACTACTACTACTACTACGCTACTGCTACTGCTACTGCTACTGCTACTGCTACTGCTACTGCTACTGCTACTGCTACTGCTACTACTACTACTACTACTACAACTACTACTACATCTACTACTACAACAACAACAACTACTACTACTACTACTACTACTAGTACTACCACTACTACTGCTACCACTACTACTGCTACCACTACTACTGCTACCACTACTACTGCTACCACTACCACTACCACTACCACTACCACTACCACTGCCACTGCCACTACCACTACCACTACCACTACCACTACCACTACCACTACCACTACCACTACCACTACCACTACCACTACTACTACTACTACTACTACTACTACTACTACTACTACTAGTGCTAATGCTAGTGCTACTGCAAATGCAAATGCGACTGCGACAACAACAACAACTACTACTACTACTACTACCACTACTACTACTACTCCACTACCACCACCACCACCACCACCACCACCACCACCACCACCACCACCACTACCACTACTACTACTACTACTACTACTACTACTACTAGTACTACTGCTGCTGCTACTACTACCACTACCCACTACCCACTACCCACTACTTACTACTACCGACTACCGACTACCGACTACCGACTACCGACTACCGACTACCGACTACCGACTACCGACTACCGACTACCGACTACTACTACTACTACTACTACTACTACTACTACTACTACTACGACTACTAAAAGTACTAGTACTACTACTAGTAGTACTACTACTACTACTACTGCTACTACTACTACTACTAAAGGTACTAGTACTAGTACTAGTACTAGTACTACTACTACTACTACTACTACTACTACTCCTGCTACTACTACTACTACTCCTGCTACTACTACTTCTACTACTACTACTACTACTACGACTACTACGACTACTGCTACTACTACTACTACTCCTGCTACTACTACTTCTACTACTACTACTACTACGACTACTACGACTACTGCTACTGCTGCTACTACTACTACTACTACGACTACGACTACGACTACGACTACTACTACTACCTTGTATGTTACAAGTACGACAGTGTCATTACAATACCGTTACATCGTTGATCCGTAACTCCGAGTTGGAGCCAGTTCGAGACTCTTCCCGAAGCACAAAACAAGGCTTTCATGTTTCGGAATGGTGTAGGTTCGTTGAATGCGTAATTAGGGGTTATAGAGGTGCGGGTTAATTAGCAACTTGAGCCCTGAACAATTTGCTGCTGGCCAGCATGCTAGACTGCTGGAGGTTGGCTTCGGCAGTTATGAAAACCAGGCTTCGGCCCCTGATGCGCCAACCTCTGGTGTGTGTGTGTGTGGGTGTGTGTCTGTGCACATGTGTCGGTGAGTGTGTGCGTGTGTGTGTGTGTGTGTGCATGTGTGTGTGTGTGTTGAGTTGATTGCTTTCCGATCTTGCGCGAACCCTTTGAAAACGATAGACAGCTGAACAACATACATAGTTTCATATGTCCAATGCAACTGCACCCGTCGCGGAAGACCGAATATCTCATGCACCTGAATTCTGCTTGCTTCTGGGTAGCTGCGCTGCTTGCTCCAAGGGCTTGCCTGGGCTCGGGATGTCGTCAATCGCCACTGCATCATCAGCAACGGTGAAACAACAACACTCACGTCACGAGCACAACAGCTGCGACAACGACGTCCATTGCTACATCTGCGTTTCCCCGTAATTACTATAAGGACAAGGAAGGAAGCCAGCAAATACGGTAGAAAGGAAACAGAACAGACTAATGTAACCAGCGAGGATGGATGACGCTGGATGACACCGATACTTGCACCAGGCTCCGCTATGCCAAAGCCAAGCTGAACCGAGCCCCCAACTTCAGAAGACCCTCACCAAAGAAAAACATTGCATCCCGACTTGAACCGAGCCACGGTACCCTGACCTAGTTCCCACAAATTCGCAAACACAGAAACCTCAAATATTATCTAGGGCCGTTGATCATGGTTGCGGTGCTGTTCCGGTTATATAGCTGGTCGATCATATAGCCCAAAACCCTAGTCTCTCTATCCAATGAGGCACCCTCATGTTATTTGGCTGGATGCTGGGCCCGGGGTCTTCTTCCCCGATGCTGCGACGCCGGCGCCGAGCAGTCCTCTTAGAGCCTCGCAGCTCTAAGACGGAAGTTTCAGAAACTTGGTTGCAGTTTTGGGGCTCTGAAAAGTACCTATGAATAGGTATACCTCTATAGGAACCATAAAGGGCAATTAACAAGCTTCCCAAATTGCCACCTAGGAAAGCAAGGGACCATTCTCCAAGCTCCTGATTGCTTCAAACCCCAGAGTGGAGCCCTATTTCAAGACACCCCCCGGAGGGCTTCAACGTATGTAGCACTTCTCTCGGGCTTTTCAGCCGAAGTTGGGTCAAGAATGAGCGGATACCTACGCTAAATAGCAAATCACAAGCACAAGCATCTCTGATGTACGGTACTGTGCCTACTAGCACATACTGGGCACTATGCTGTGACCTGAACCATGTGGTATACTTTCTCTACAACCTCTCGGCCCACATAGTTCATCCAACTGCTCTCGGCCTACCTATTTCATGTCTAACAGATAACAAGATCCCTCAGCCAGGAAACGGCCGCTTGGCGTAGCCGGGGAGGCTGGCGATGCTGGATTGGAGTCAATAGAGTCGACTTTCCCGAAGGGCCTTGGCAAGGATCTCACTCAGAAAACTCGTGCACCTGCTCCCTGGACCTCCAGTCAGCTAAGTAGTACTAAGTAGTAGGCTACTGGGGTGGTACATAATATATGGTTAGTTATAAGCTACCATTTTGACACTCACTCTCGGACAAGCTTGGCAAGGTCTAATGTCGTTTACCGATTAAGATACCCCCCCGGATTAGACGGGGCCGTCCCGGGCATGTCATGGGCTTAATGAAGAAGTCCATTAGACCCCACCCCTATAGTACCGGAGCTCATTTAAACCCCCCCCCATTAGACGGGGCCATCCCCGAAAATCCCCGAAATAAGGATTTAGGGGATTTAGAGGCTTATGACTTAACCCTAAACCCCAAACCCTGAAGCCTAAACCGTAAAGAACTCATGATGGCAGACTTTTCCTCATTAGACCAGCGCATGTCCAGCAGAGCTCAGCTTGTACGGGACCAGGGATTTGCAGGCCCTTTGCTTTGACCTAGAAAGCCCGAAGCTTTGAGATGGAAGGGTCAGAGATCCCTGGCCTTGGGATCCCTGGGATTTCGGTGATATCTTCTGCTGCCAGAAACAGGTGGTTCCCTAATTAAACCGTATATAAAAAGAATAGGTTTGTCAAGTTTTCCAAGGCTACCCCTTTGCAGGCCCCGCCCCCCCCAGAATAGCAGGAAACCCCCCCCGATTAACAGGGTCCGGCCCGGGACCAGGGATTTGCAGGCCCTTGGCTTTGACCTAGAAAGCCCGAAGCTTTGAGATGGAAGGGTCAGAGATCCCTGGCCTTGGGATCCCTGGGATTTCGGTGATATCTTCTGCTGCCAGAAACAGGTGGTTCCCTAATTAAACCGTATATAAAAAGAGTAGGTTTGTCAAGTTTTCCAAGGCTACCCCTTTGCAGGCCCCGCCCCCCCCAGAATAGCAGGAAACCGCCCCCGATTAACAGGGTCCGGGCCGGGACCAAGGATTTGCAAGCCCTTGGCTTTGACCTAGAAAGCCCGTAGCTTTGAGATGGAAGGGTCAAAGATCCCTGGCCTTGGGATCCCTGGGATTTCGGTGATATCTTCTGCTGCTAGAAACAGGTGGTTCCCTAATTAAACGTATATAAACAGAGTAGGTTTGTCAAGTTTTCCAAGGCTACCCCTTTGCAGGCCCCGCCCCCCCCAGAATAGCAGGAAACCGCCCCCGATTAACAGGGTCCGGCCCGGGACCAGAGATTTGCAAGCCCTTGGCTTTGACCTAGAAAGCCCGTAGCTTTGAGATGGAAGGGTCAGAGATCCCTGGCCTTGGGATCCCTGGGATTTCGGTGATATCTTCTGCTGCCAGAAACAGGTGGTTCCCTAATCAAACCCCCAACCCCCTATTGTAATACTACTATACTACTGTACTACTATACTACTGTACTACTGTACTACTACTAAACTACTGTACTACTACTATACTACTGTTCTACTATTATACTACTGTAATACTACTATACTACTATACTACTATACTACTGTACTACTGTACTACTGTACTACTGTACTACTACTATACTACTGTAATACTACTATACTACTGTACTACTACTATACTACTGTACTACTACAACTATATTACTCTACTCCTATTGTACGACTGCAATACTTTACTAACTACTCTCTATCTACTTACTACTATACTTAATAAGTAAACCCATCCCCACATAATCGGGGGGGGGTCGGGAAAAACTTGAACCCATGAACAAGTTCAAGCGGGCTAACCTTGACAGCGGGGGGGGGGGCGGGGGGGGGGGTTGTTAATCGGTATCCAACATTACCATTTATGGAAGTGGAGTCCTAGGGTTTCAGCTCGACACTTCAGACCTACTTGCAGGCAGTTGGCTCCTGGGAGCTGGAGGGCCATACTATGATTTCGTCATGGGTCCTAGCACCTCTGGAAGATTCGCGGGTACGCATCCTCATCTGAGGTATAGGGTTCGTGTTAGTAGACAGAACGGCCTGCGAACTGGCAGGGTCAGAACCAGTAAAAAGAAGGCGCGCGACCCGTTGGGCCAGTTCAACAAAGCAGAACAAAAACACCACAGGGCCGAAGAAGTCACATGCTACACTCCAGATAGCCAGCGGCCCGCCTGTGTTAGTTGCTAGCTGAGCTGAGATCCTGTGCGGGAGGCCTCCCGTTCTGAGCCAACGGCGACGCAGACAACCATAGTTCTTGATCGTCGCTGTCGTCATCATCGCGTACGTCGCACCAGTTCTGGCAAGTGGAAGATCGGGAGCTTCCAGACCCCTCTGTAAGCTTGTAGGATATGCTGCCTGTGCCTTGAAATAGCTCCGCTCCGTACTGACGCATCGCTACCCCAGTTGCAGCATCTACGGCTTATCGCAATCGAGCTCATGGTTGTATGTGCCCAGGATGGGGACATGCAGCTGGGCGTCTTACTTAGTTACTTTGGACAAGCTGGGAAGCACCGGCCCCCTCTAGGCCCTAGTCGCGCCAGTCTCTCAGCCACAGCTCCGCCTCCTGTATTTGCCTTTTTCCTTGCTGACGTCCCAGGATTAAATCTCAAAGTCTCAACACCCGCTAATCTCAAAGTCTCAACGCCCGATAGCACTGAATAACTTCGCACCTCACGCTTTGCTTTTGTGGCAGCGAAGGCCTCAAGAAGCTCGTGCAGGGGTTTAGGGCTTAGGGAGGATTGGTATTGGTAACAATTCAGGCCGGGCCGATTGCGAAGTCGCTGTTTCGTTTCGTAGGGATTGCCAGCTTCGAAAATAGCAACGCTTAATGTCAGAATTTAATTTCGTCGGAGCTTCGTGGCTGAGTCCGTGAGTGAATGACTGAGAGATACAGAGGGACAAAAGAGAGAGAGGGAGAGAGAGAGAGAGAGAGGGAGAGAGAAAGAGATCTGAAATCCTCGACAGCTGGGAATGCACTGTCGAGACTACATGTTCCTCGTTCTTCCTCCATAATATGCATCGGCAGCAGGCACGAATACAACTCTCACAATCCCGAGGTCAAACCCGAAAGTCCAAACCCTTGACTCTAGACCTCCCAACTACCCTCCCCTTGAACTCCAAAACGGGCCCTCGAGTTGCATCAGATTCTTGCCAATTTTGTTAAACACATGCTGCGTATCCTTGTCCTCATCGACTCCTGTATTGGGCACCAGGAGGTCCCAGCCATGCACAAGAGAAACTGAAGTAGGCGAACTCTCCAACCTCCCAACATAGCTCTGGTGCGTAAGTTTGAGCTTAGGCGATAGCCTCGAGTCCGTATTTGCTGAAGTCTGACGACTTGCTTTGCACGCGAGACCTGGCCGAATCAGAATGCAGTTTGGTTGAGGGTGTAGTTGAAACACTACACATGACTGTGTATGCACAGACAGCATTGGACATTAATGCTCACACTCTCGGTGTTCTCGCAAGGATGTCTGGGCATCTGTCGTAGGCTGAGCGTAGCTGCACCTTAGGGTGGGGCGGGCGGAGAGGGGGAAAGGGTGGGACGCCAGAAACTGAGCGGCCGTAAGATCTGTTGGCCAGCGAGGTTCGTGGTTGCAGACCGTTTCGGTTCGCACCTATATGGTATATGCCACGTTAAACTGTAGCCATGTCTTATGTACATGCTTCCAGACAGATGCCACGTTCGAAGCTGAGTATGCAGATGAGAAACCCACCCTCGTGGGTCTATCACGAGCTGCATGAAAACCGACTGTGCACCGAAGGACTTGGCCTCTGTGCATCGTCTGTTGATCCATCAGAGAGTCCGTCGGATGGCACCTAGCGGTAAACAACGGGGAGTTTGTCTGAGGAGAAACACTATACTGCACCTGGAAAGGTCCTATCAGTGAGCATGCATCAACTAGAAAGGTCATTGACTTCAAGGTCATTACTAATCACCGAATGAACTTGAATGCTCGAGTCATCCAATAACAATCAAGACTACTGATACTGCTACTTCGACTGCTGCTAATGCTACTGCTGCTGGCTGTACGCAATCCAACATGCTGCATCTGGCAACTGATAGCCTGATTGTTTATTCTGGTATGAGGGAAAAGGTGACGAACGGCACACATGCGTGCTTGCTTCTCTCTCTCTCTCTCTCTCTGTCTCCTTCTCTCTCGACATGTATGCAGTTTTAACATTGTAGGTGCGCCTGCAGCCTGCATGTACGAGTTGAGCCCAAGTCCCCATGCGAAGTTGAGGTGAGTGGCGGTTGCACTCTCTGGGTCTCGCAACAGGAAGAAGCAACAGCTTTGAAACCAAATGCCCGTTGCTCGGCACGTGTGCAAAACGAACTGACGCTTGGAGGCACACAGTAGCAAGAGTTAGGCTGTTGAAATCGCACTCATCCTCAGGTGATTCTTCATGGAGGTCGGATCCTGTAGCAGCCTAGGAGTTCATCAACGGGTGCCATCAGACATGTAATGGCTTCTCCCACTTCTACATGCCAGCTCGAGATTAATTGAACCTGGCGCTTGGACCGAACAGCTCGTTTCAACGAGGGTCAAGCTTAAATATCCCTGAGGGACACACGATGAACCTCCACACAAGAGCATGCTTTGAAGCACAGCTCCTGATCTCGTAAACCTGTAAACACAGCCCTACTCTCTGAGGATCAAAATACTCACATACATTAGTCCGTGCCACCAACAAGAGTAGGGACCCTTAGGGGGGTAGGGGGAGGGGGGTAGGGACTATACTTCCTTGAATAAGCCTCATGTCCTTATCATAGGTGTTAACTACCCCCGGGCCCCCTACCCCCCTAAGGGTCCTTATGAAACAACCGGCCTTGGTGTCTGAGCTTCTTCTGGATTGCCTGGGCAGTTAGGGGCATAAGGCTTTAAGGTTTTAGGGTTGGATTGCTCTTTCCTTAGTTAGGGTTTAGGGTTTAGGGTTTTTAGGGTCTTTGGGGGTTAAGGGTTTAGGGTGCATGCAGCCGCTAAATTCCTCTAGCAGGAGTTGGGAGCTCTTGGTATGCCCTGAGCCTGAAAGCAATCGAAAAGCCTCCTGAGCGTTGCTCTTATGCCGGCGTGGTGCCGTCCGGGCTCCAGCTCCTGTCCCTGGCTACTCACCATGACCTGGGAGAGTTCGGGCAAGGGGTTCAAGATGGTTCAAGGTTTGTGGCCTCAATTCTGCAGAATTTGCGCTGGAAATCTCTGGCCCCAAGCCGGTCTTAGCAGGAAGTCTGGCTGCAGAGAACCTCTGAAACTTGGACTTTCGCAACTGTTGCCCCCGTGATTCATTGCGCCCGCCTGCTTGCAAATGATATCGCACTCAAAGCAAAGGGCACCAAGTGTCGGTCGAATGGTTGCCGGGCTGGTGGTCCGTGGAGCCATGCACCCTACTCTCTTACAGCAGCCTCCCCAGGTTTCACACTGAGCAGCCGGGCAGAATCGACTCCGGACTGTGGCCACTGGCTTCGTGGCTCTCGCTACACTATCCAGAACAGCTGCGGGAGAATAATGACAACAATGACAATGTAATGATAATGTGTGCAATAACAAACGACATACATAACAATAATAATCACAAGATCAACAATAACACTAACAGTAATAGTAATAACAGCTGCAAGGTTCGCCGACTTCGCAAGACATGAACAGCTCAACGGTGAAGGTCCGCATAGCTATACAGACTGCACATGCTTAAAATCTTGACGCTGCTAAAACTCGAAAAAAGTTCTTGGCTGCATAGGTGCTCGAAGCTCAGCAAATGGGGCAGGCAGCGACTCGGCCACCGCCATCACCACCACCAACGGCAGGGCAGCAAAACCAGCAAAACATATGCAACAGCAGCAACAAACATGGACAAGGCACTGAGCACCAACATCGCCATCACCGCCACCAAGAACACCCGCCTCCACAGCACTGCAACAGTCAAGGATGATGGTCAGCACCATCGCCGGAGCCGCTGCAACTTCAACCCCGTATCATACTATGACCATCTCCACCAACAGCCACACACAGAAACAACAACAGCAACAACACAAATGACAAAATATCGCCAAGCACACAGCTTAATCACATTGTCAGCGACAACAGCTACCGCAACCGGAGCCGAAACCCTGGCCATGACAACACGAACTTCACTACTAGTACCAACGCGACAGCACCAAGACGACGAAGACCACGAACAAGAAAAAACAAGCATTAACTATGAACGCCACTATGCGACACACTTGCCACCCACCGACCCACCCACGGGTGCTCACGCGCGTACAAGCAAACAAGCAAAAACAAATAAACAAACAACACAACACACACAGAGACACACAATCACACAGATGTACACGCACCAGCACGCAAAATACATGTAAGTACACACACACACACACACACACACATGCACTGATCGATGCACACAAGACATGCGCACCGCGGCTCGCGAATTCGCAGTTCGTTGGTTAGAATTCGTCAATGCCCCAAGCGAAAGTTCTGAAACAAACCGATCCGTAAATCGCAGACTTCCTGTCCCAATCCCCAGCAAAGGAGTATCCTGGCGCATCTGCCGGCACATGTCCTGCGAAGATTGGGTCAAGCATCTCAAGACAATGTCAGCTTATTGAAGCACACTTGTAGCCCGGGATGTGTTGAAAAAGGATGCAAGTTCATACTGCACATGCATACGTACCGGCCAATCAACACGGTCACAACACAGGTGATGGTTGATTGTGCTTCAGGATATATTGGTGCAGGTTTTCAGGATATCGGGACTGCCATGTCCCAACTCGGTATCTGCTATAGTGCGTATTAGTACACCGGTACACCTCACTCCGTCACCCCGCTTTGACTCAAACCTGCTCTTGCTCTTTGCTAGATATAGCCCTCTCCCGTCGTCTCCGTCAAACTTCAGTGGGAACAAGAACACATAGCATGTCCAGCAATGCACATCACGGAGCTTCACGTACCATGTGACGGTGCCAAGCTGCAAGGCACATTTTCAGGCGCGTCTTTCGTTCGCCACGCAGCATGTGTTTGCGAGCCTGGTAGGTGTTCTTACATCCTCAGGCAAGTGAAAAGTGAAAAGGCAGATGTGACCAGAACGCCCGGAACAACAGCGAGTCGTCAAGATGGCAACAGGAGGAATTGCATGGGCAACACCACGAAAAAAGGCGTCCTGGGTACATCAGCAGAAAGAAAGTAGATGTGTATAGATCCCGGTTGGTGGCACATGCGACGCTCGTGTCCAAAAGTGTGTTTATGGAGGCTCACAACTTACAGAAAGCGAGCAACCGGGACTGGGAATCCGAAGACCTACAAGTTCACCTAGTGTAGGCCTTTCTAGGGCCGCAAGCAGCAAGGCGAGGATCCCTCACCTCAGAAGTTTCATCAAGCGCACCACTAGTATATGTCTAGGGTGCACGCTCTCGGAGAACTCCAGGAAAGTGATCATGCTCAATGACAACGGCAACAACGCTAATAGTAGGTATAATTAGGGAATAACAATAGTCATAATCCTCATAGAATCATAGTAGTCTGCTGCCTGCTGGCCCCTCAAAGAGCGGAAGCATGTCCAGCTTCAGGTGTCGCAGCTCTGCTGGGCAACGAAAACATCGGCTGCCACAACGTTTGGTTGACAACTGCGGCGCAGATATAAGGCCATGGGGCTGGGTGTGCAATTAAATGTCTACTGCAAGCGCTCTCGCAATCACGACCGTCGATGGGCTTCAACACGCGATCTGCAAACGTACATTGCCTATCACGCGTTGCTGAGGCTACTCTCTTATATTTGTCCATGCAACAATCTTCGTCTTCGCCTGAACATGTGTGTGATCGTAGGAAGCTGCCAATTATGTCCGGAACCGTCCGGTCGCCGTGTCAACCAAGAGCCAAACCTGTCTAGCAAGTCCAAGTCGAATTCAAGCTGCTGCTTTGGCTGGGCTCCCTAGCCTCCTCTTGCACCCCCACGGTGCTGAGATCCGTGACACTGGGCACAGGCGGACGGCTGGGGGTATGTCATTAGTGAGGTATCGCATGACCAGCTTTGTCTGGTTCAGAGCGAAGGCCTCTGCTTGGTGCAAAGGCCTACGCGACTTGAAAAAGCTCGGGGAGGACCTCGAAGCGGGCGGACGTGCATCGCACGGTAACATGCATCACTATGGATCCCGTCGTCTTGCTTTGTCCAGTACTCATGTGACCGTGGGCATCCGTAGCAGAAGCGCATGTCGAGTCTAGTGTGAGATCCCTGTAGCAGGTCCTCCAGAGCAGGATAGCTCAACATGACGGCTCCGTGCCATTGCCGGCAAGATTCAGTCATCTCGTATCGCATGAGACATGTCCCTGTATGACACGTAAGAAGTTGAGGAACCGCGGAAATCGGAATACCATACACACTGGCCATCACCTATCTAGAATAACCCATTTTCCCAATTGATTTACCGATTTACCTCAGCCGCCTCAACCATTGATGACTCTGTTGACACTAAATTCTAGACCGACGAGGCCCGGAGATTGCCAAAAAAGGCCGCAACGATCTCGGAGGCTTAATCTGTCTAGCTAGGAGGAGATTCCAGTTCGCAATGCTTGGTTCAAGCGTTGATGCTGTGAGTGTCGGGCGTTGGGCTTGAAGTCTTCCCAATCAGCCATGACATGCTATACCAGTCACCAAGAAAGTCTGTTTGGGCTTGATAGGGTTTAGCGTGGTGAACCAATGGAAGGCCGGAGTAATGAATCGGGTATATTTCCAACTATGAGAGAAGACGAATTAACAAGAGGTCTGTATTTTGTATGTATAAGTACAAATGCACGCGCATGCAGCATACACGACATATACATTTTCTTACACCTTTGTACAAAAGTAAACCGATAATTCGTTAGGTGGCAGTCATAAACATAAACATAATCTGCTGAAGCAATCGTCCGCTTTGTAGCTAGATATGTAGAAAGTAGAAAGTAAGGCGCTCTATGATACTTACTAGTAAGGCGCTCTATGATACTTACTACATCAGGCTTGTAGCTCAGGGTTCAGTCCGAGTCTGAATTGGGGGGGTTGACAGACAAAACAATATATCAACGGCCATTCGTGCTAAAATCTCAGGCGTATACTCTTGGTCCTCCGCAACACCAAATCTCGAAAACCATCTCGCACATAGTAGCTCATAATTTGCCAGCAGATTGAGAGATCTGGGGGGGTTGCATGCCTCCAGGATTCGATTGCGTGTCACCAAAACAAAGCAGCCGCTGCCTCTTTGCCAAATGGGCAGCGTGCAGTAACCTCTTGCAGCATTTGATATGCAAGCTGGCGGAGCACAGCACACTGTGTGGCAATTGCCTCCTGCAGAGCAAACACTGTAACACTAACTCCATCCACAGGAACTGCAAAAATTCATGATGCAAGTCCTGTCCACCAGCTGAATTGATGTGGGGCGCTTTGCGCCTTGGCCCCTTCTGAGCCTACGATGGATGCGCGCGCCGCGGAAAGCCAAAAGAGGGCGATGACTTGCTAGGCTCCAACGTCAGACCATCGGCTGCAGCAACAAACCGGATCGATCTTGAAACTGAGGCTTTGGATGCTTGCATCCGAATTTCATAGTCTTCGAGATTAAAGGGCCATAGACACATGAGGGTTCAGGGTTCGACCAGGCACTTATTTCATAACAGGAGGCTGGGATCCTCTAAACAGAGTCAAAACTGAAAGAATCCTTATACGACCCAAACTACTGCCCCTCTAAAAGGCATCGACATCTGTGCAACGCAGGGGTGTTCGACCCAGGCCGTCAAATTCAGCCTGCGCAGCGGAACAAGCAGGCTGCAACTGGGGAGGGGGGTTTTCCGGAAGGGTACTATGGGGTTCAATACTAGGGTTCCCTTTAAGGGCACTATGGGTGTCTATACGGGATCTTCCAGAAGGTTGAGAAGAGATGTGCGGAAGCGGCAGCATACACGGTTGTTACTCAGCTTGTCGGCCGGTTCGTCTGTAAATGCCAGTATCGTCCCTAGGCCCTAGGCATGTCTGTGTAGCAAACATCTGTCAGACCTATCAGTCATACCACAGACAGACAGGTAATATAGGGGCCTTAACAATTAGAATAGGGTTCTGGGGCCCATTATAACATAACAAAAAGCAACCGCCAAAATAGTATAGGTAACCATTTAGGCCCCTATAGTAGTTGCTGATGGTCACAGCCAGCTCGCCATTTTCATCATCCCCACAGCCAACGACACCAGTAACAACACCATCGAGGTCATCCTCATCGTGAACACCACTGTCTGCGGCTTCGCTGCACCTCCATGAATCATCTTCATGCTGCTCCCCTCGAATAACCTTCCTCCTCTTGAGCATCGTAACCGTCATCATCCACCATACTCACCATTGTCTAAGTCGCACTCAGCCTCATCGTCCTACTCTTCCCCATGATCTTCCTCTATATTGGATGTACTTTGATGCTCTGAGTCCCGGCAGACGATAACGAGGCCGAGTAGTCCCGACACAAAAGCAACATACCGACACAAAACCCTAAAGCATCATGGACATGAATGAGAGAATGTTCGCTTTGACAGCAGAAGGGAGTTTCCGAAAATAGGGGACCCTAATACAGTACCCCAAATAGTAGGATCCTTATTACAAGGACACCAGAATAAGGTACCCCTAATTTTCGGAAACTCCCACATGAATGAGAGAATGTTCGCTTTGACAGCAGAAGGCCTCAGTCTTCATAGCTCTCGGGAGCTGCCGCTTGCAGACGAGCCTGACGTTTCTGTTGGCAGATGCTGCCAAACCGACAGAAGCCCTGCTTCACCAGCAACTCTGAAGCAAAATTCGATTCAGTTTGCTTGCTCAGCTGTCATCACCATCTCGACCATGCTGCTGGCCAGTTCTGTAGTCGTCTTCCAGTTATGCCGCCTTTCTTGCAAATGTTTCTTAAAAAAATTCAGCGCCTTGCACATGCTCCAGACATTCTGTTGCTTCTAGTCGGGCCTCGGAAAATGAACCACTGTGCTTGGACGATGCGCGTCAAGCTGAATGATCGCACCCTGAAATCTGCAAAAGTCCTAAACGTCGCAACCTTTGTGTCACACAGTAGACCTAGATCAGCATCCGAAATGTGGAACCCCAATCTGCAGTCAAAGTGTCAGCCAGTTCTTCTCGTGTTCCCTCCAGCTCCTTGAATGCAGATCACGGGAAGGATCTGCCCAATCGGGGGCATCAGTCGGTAAGAGCACAAGCTCAACCCACTTAAAGCCTCTTTCGAGCAATACACCAGGAACGCCTTGTGCAAACACGCGAACTCTGGAAATCAAGGACGCAGGCCTAGTGTTGCTGAAAATGTCGTGCTTGCGGTAGAGATCTGGAAGCTCACACACTGCGGGGACGCTGCATGGATTTCAGTTGTTGAGCAAGCTTACTGTCTTCTGTACTCGTAGGAAAGTCTTTTCTCAACCATTCCCCGGGTGGGATAAAGAACCTTTTCAAAAGGAAATTCTGCACGCCACAACCACGAGCGCACCGACCAGCATGCATGTTGCGCATTTCCTGCACAGCTTGTGGACTCCTCGTTTCAGGGGACATGACGGATGGTCCAACCGCGCGTAACTCCCAAGAAAGGGCTTCGAGGCAACCCGGGTGTGCGAATGCGGCACAGAATGAGAACAGCATGAGTCTCCACTCTGCAAATACGGTGCAGCTTCTGTCTCCCTCCAGCGTCGGCATCACTGCCCGAAGTCCTAAACCACGCTCCGTCAACAAAAACCCTACGTACTATAGTTGAGGACGAGCATCGGCTTGTGATCCCAAAAGCTGGCGCAGGGTGGTCACCTGAAGCACGTTTTTTTTGAGTCTAGTGGTCTAGAATCGTTAGTCTCTCAGCCAAGACTAACACTGCACATCAGCAAGTGTGATCTGAGAACCTATAGGGTACACATCAGAGATGCCGCATAGCACTTCGGGATGCCCTGATCTGATTCGTGTTGTAGGGTAGAAAATGTAGAAACACATCCGCACCGTCAGCTCCGGTCAAACAGAGATACGGCCAAACAAAAGAACAGAGAGCAACAAACACATACTGCCTTGACTGGTCAAAAAGATTGGAACTGCACCCCCGGAAACATCACGACTGGGACTACTGCTGACCTACATTAAATTACGTCACTGGAAACTTCCACCCCGACCGTCTACGCAGCTCCTGAAACCGTCAATTCGATGCCCACCTCCGGACTCGCCGGGCTCAGGCATGGCTCTTTATTGCCTCCTCGCCGTCCCGGGTTCACCGAGGGTGAGGTCACCAGGCCTCCAGGGGCACGACGGGATAATTCAAAGGCCTTGGCAACTAGAACCTTTTCAAACAAATGGATGTTGACATCGTGGATTTAGTAACCTTAGTATAGGGGCTATAAGAGGCTGTCCTGACTAGTTCTTTCGATATTTAGGCAGCGATTGGGTTTAGGGTTCATTGGACCACTAGCAAGGGGTTGTGGTTTCTGCACTTTAACAATCTAAATTTCAAGCATACCGGTCATGACTGCCAACTACGTCACTCTCTGATTTTAGCTTGCATATTGTACAATCATATACACTCTACATGATGTACTTTATGGTTATATGTACATATATATATATATATATATATATATATGTATATGTATGTGTATATATATATATATATATATATATATATATATATATTATACACATACAGTTATACATTATACTCAGCTTCACTGGGCACTGGAACCCCGCAGGGTTAGAACGGTTACAACAGCTGATGAAGGATTGGCTACTTAGTGAAAGTCACAGGCTTACCTTGCGCTGACGTGTCAATGTTGAAGAAGTGAATATAAGTGAATGAGAACTCCTAATTAGAATAGCGCGGCTTCCGGATTCCTCACCCCACACCAAGCCCTATGGAACCTGACCCCCATGACCAAGTTCTCGCTTTGACTGTGTGCCGGCCTCCTCCGCTGCTGGGAGATTGGGCATTGACGAAACCTGGGTGTGGGGGACCGTGGTCTTCAGTAGGGCAAAAGCCTTAGTGCTTCGTGTCTGGGGCTCGCGACACGAAGTGGATCGATCCTCTGTGTTATCCAAGAAGCAGAAACACAACACAAACGTCGATAACAGTGACACCAATCTGAATCGCTACGCTACCAAATCTCATTGGGAACGAAGTGAACCCCAACAGTTGCATTGACTCCTGCGAAATCTTTGTGCTGTCGGGCCCGGCGTAAATGGGGATGTTTCTCCAAACAATGAAAGCACCGACATATGAAGCAAAGCTTGGTAAAAAGCCTAGTGTTTCCGGCTTCGAGTAGTTAGTACTACGTAAGTCAACTACCGGTATCCGTCTGACTAGTTAGGTTGCACTTGCAGCGTTCCCGTTCGAGAGGGACAGACAAGCAGCACTAGCAACATCGTAGGCTTCGTAGCCGGTGAAATAGTAGAAATTGTTGTTGCTGGTGTTGGTGCTGTCGTTATCTTGATCGTGGTCGTGGTGGTGGTGGTGGTAGTGGTGGTGATTGTAGTGGATGTGAACGTGGTAGTAGTAGATAGTAGTTTCAAGAATCAAGAACAGAAGCGAACAGTTCTTACGGCCGGAGAAACCGGCCAGTACAGAGAGTCGTGCAAGCATTCAGCGAACGCAGTAGGCCCGGAAAGGAGGAGTGAAGACTGTCGGCAGACTAAGCTGGGTTCAACAATACACCCCTTAGCCTGTAAACCTACATCAGAAACCATGTCTGGACCACCTTGCTGCACGTTCAACCTTCGGTTTACTCCCTTCCTGTTGACACAATCTGCTCTCGCACAGACACATCCCAACAAGCGTGTGGCGGGTTGCTATAGCACCACATGGGCAACCCGGATATACATCCGTCCAAATCTAAACCCCTGCTGGCCGAGGCACTGCGCATGCTCATACGGGACCTGCGCAGACAGTCTGTTATTTTCGTGGGCCAAAACTACTCATTCACTTGTTCTTCCGTTTCTTTGTGAGAAATCGCTGTATGACCAAACGTTAAGCGGGCACAGAACCTGAAGTGTCAGGTTGTCGGGACAATGACCGTTCTTTTCAAGGCTTTTGGGCTCGATCCCAAACTGGCTCGAGGATCTAACCCAGAGGCTCCAAAACCCCTTGATTACGGAATACCTTAAATTGTAATAGGCTCGCTAATATGATTTAAGATATATATTTACGTTAAATTGTAATAGGCTCGCTATAATATGATTTAAGGTACATTCCTTAATTAAGGGGTTTTGGAGTCTCTGGGAATGGAAAGTTTGGGCCTGGTGGGGGCACTCCAGCCCTCGAAAACCAAATGACAGTACTACACCGTCGACCGGGAACGAGTTTCTTCGGCACCTTCGCCTCCCTCACAGAGAGATCCACGTCTACAGCAACGCACACCATGATTTTTGCAGGGGTCTGATGATGTCGTGCGCATGTCTGAAGATTTCACTTACCGGAACTTTGCACCACCATTGAGAATCTTGAGTCTCGGAGTGTGTGCTGAGCAACTCCTAGAAAAGAGGCCAGGCTTCGCATCTGTCCGTGCAGGTTGGCGGGCTTTCGAATCAACAATCTGCATACATTGGGTACGGCCCACATACAGTAACAGTCTATAATGGAGCTACTATTAAGGGCCTCATATATCTATATTATGAGTATTATCCAACTGTTCCTGAGTGGGGGCCGTACCCACTGCATACAAGCATCAGGTCCTTGCAACCAAATGAAGAATCAAGCAGCCAAGAGGCCTAGAGGTTGCAAGAGACAGGAGAGGCAGGCGGGGAGACCGTTTCCATCCTCATCCATGCCGCTAACTAGCTCAAACCATCAGAAGCTCAGAGCCCAGATCCTGAAACGAAACCCCACAACAGCGATCTGCACCTGCACGGAGACGGAACATCTGCTGTCCAGCTCGGCGGCGAGCGACCTAAAAGCCAAGCACAACTGCCAGTTCTGCAGGGCAAGACTTCCCAAAGCCGTAAGCCCTGTGTCATGAGCTGCGTCTGTGTGCACCCCCGACGGAGGTCTCAAAGGCTCACCAGCAGAATCTGCATCACAGGTCCACATATGTAGGGCATACGTGAAGGCTGTGGCTGGAATGGCTGATCCGCTAAGCGGCATGCGAGAGTTCAGGCTGGCATGCAACTTGAGTCGAGGCAAAACAAATGCGCGGACCGTGCGTTTTGTGAAGCCTCTGTGGAGCCTCTGTGTGTGCGTGTGTGTGTGCGCACAGGGTATCTGAACATCCATGCAAGTCAAGTTGTGGATATCGCAAAACCAACCTTTCAGTCACTCGGAAGGGGGGCTTCGCAAGATTGTGTTTATTCAATTTTATTCAAGCAGCATGGTGTTCGTGAGGATGCATCGCCTCCGAATGGTGCCTGCCGGGAATGTTGGTGGCTGCGCACCATGGGCTGGATGCCTAACATAGGGGCCTTAATAATTAAAACAGGGTTGGGAGGCCCATTTACTACAATTATAATCAGGAACCCCCAAAAGAATATTGGTATTTAAGAGTAGTTAATTAGTAATTAGGCCCCTAGATTACGGCCATGCTAGATCAACTCCAAGCCAAGATGGACCATCGAGCCTCCAAGCCCGGAGCCTCTTATAACTCAATACCGGGGCCCATTAAACCAGAATAAGGAGCCCCCCCAAAATAGTATACATAGGTAAGTATTAAGGGCCCTATAGCAAGTCCTATAACCGATTTCCTCTCAAGGCTTACGTAGATCTACGAATTTCAACAACCACAGCAACCCTAAAGACTACACCCTAAGCCCTGCGCCAGCCTTTGGCGAAGTCGCAAGCAGCAGGCGCTTTGCCGAGACGTCAGGCGAGGCCACAGCGGCGTTAGGCGAGGCGTACGGGTAACCCCTGGGAGCGGATTCTGATGCGTTAATAATTAGAATAGGGTTCCTGTAGTCGTCTATAGGGGTTACTATAAGGGTACTATATTACTATATAGTATAGGGGCCTTAATAATTCGAATAGGGTTTTGGGGCCCATTATACTATAACTATAGTATGTAAGGAACCCCAAAATATTATTAATATTTAGGCCCTATAGTAATGGCAGCTTCGGTTACTTCGGGAACAGCGGTTCGAATCAACTCAAGGCTCAGTCTAAATTCGTGGTTCGGCGCCATGAGGGACATGAGCAATCTAAGGTAGTGAGCAGGAGCCAGGGCTCTGTCTCTTCGGCACAGAAGGCTTGGAATTTATCTAACCCCTAAACCCTAACCCCTAAATTTACTAAACCCTAAACCCTACCCTAAACCCTAAACCCTAAACCCTAAGGGTAGCTGCTATTCCTGCACGATGCGATGTCTGCTCTTCAGTTTGACCTGTGTGACATCCAGTAACGAAAACTATAGAAAAAATCAACGCAAATTCTTCAAGAGCACACGGTTTAGGGTTTAGGGTTTAGGGTTTTAAATCTATTCCAGCAGTTCCTTGTTTGTCACTACTCAGACGCACAGGAATTCATGACTGGTGTTTCTGTCTCGGGTTCTGGCCTCGCGGAGGCGTCGCAGGAAGGCTTTGATGTCGGAGACGGGCAGCCAGGATACCCCAAGGCTCCTGGAAAGATTGCCGAGTGAGCTGCAAAGGAGTCGATCTGCTACTACAGCTGTATTATTGCAGCGATCAGGATTGAGGGCTCTTGCTTGGGCATCAAGTTTTGGCATGCGAGGATTTCGGCATACAAACCCAACACACACTGCCGGCTCCAGCAAGCTGCTTCTACCCGTGGCGGCTTCCGAACCATCAGCTGTTCAGATCCACCCAGCCCTGCTTGACGAAGAGAGCTTTGCAGTAAGTCTCGAGTGCCCCAGTCCAATCTACAAGAAGTCCTGTAGAACACTTTCGAAGTGACTTGAAAATCACCAATGCTGCCGCGCCTGGTGGCAGGAAAAGGCCCTGCTTGGGCTGGTCCGCAGGTGCTGTGCTCATGATACCTGCACGACAGAAATAACTGCTTGCTTGGAGGTCTGCCTACCTGCCTACCTACCTGATGCCTACACCCGCCCCACCCTACCACCCCCCCCCTCCACACAAGCCCTCTCACTCACCCACCCATCCACCCACCACCCACCCACCTTTCCATCCTACCAACCTGTCTGCCTCCCTACAGTGGTTTATCACGTACACATACAAATTCAAATATACATGTACATATACATGTACACATCATATACATATATATATATATATACATACATACGTACATACACATACACATACACCCACACACACACACACGTACATATATATATATATATATATATATATATATATATACATATATACATATGTATGTATATAGATATAAGCACACACACACACACATATATATATATATATATATGTATGTATGTATGTATGTATGTATGTATGTATGTATGTATGTATGTTGTATATGCATGTACATTTACATGCGCGCGTATGTGCGTATGTTTGCATGTATTTATGTACGTATGTGTGTGTGTGTGTATGTGAACACATACCAACAAAACGTTCATGACATGGCATGGCATTGCATGGCGCGGCATGGTATTGCATTGCACGGCAGGAATAACATAACACAACATGACATTGCTTCACATGAGCATGTGTATACATTCTACACATATACATATAGATATACACATACATACATGCAGTTGGTCATCGTTGTGTTCATATAGAAGACACGCACACAAAATTAGCACGCGCCTGTGCTTCTAGCTCTTGAGCTCTACACATGTCCGGCCTGGCCAATTACCATCCGCCCCTGGAGAGGGCACCGTGCCGGGGCCTGGCTGAGGATAGTCAAGGGTCTCTGAGCATCTACGGAGTTGCAGGTGCTAGGTTGGGTGCTGGGATTTAGACTGGGGGGGTTCAGCTTTAGGCTTGGGGTTATACTTGGGTTCTGGAGAGGTTCTGTTGTTTGATCTTTCCGCGGAACCGCCCGAACGTTCTGAATGAAATGGCTTAGACCACGTGCCACGTGAGCCATCTCATGTCGCCCAGTCTCGGTTTCAGCCTGGCATGTATCTGACTAGGAACCGAAGGAGCCATGCCTGGCCGGTGCTGTAAATTATGGGGTGCCTTACTTCCATCCTCAAGACAGGACTTACGCCAGTCTAATAAGAGAAATCTAGATCTAGGTGCCTCAATTTAAAGAGGTACTTGCAAAGTCTGCGGCATTTCTCAACCTATTAAAGTTCTGCAGGTCTTATGGTCCAAATTGTTCTCCGATGAGCAGCCTGTGTAGGTCTGTGTCGGGCTCTGGCTGCATTCCACGCCAAGCTCCTGCCAGGGCTCAAGGGTTGCGAGGCAACCGGGTTTAGGGTTTAGGGTTTAGGGGCCTCACATGCATGTGCAAATATGGGTAGAGTTGACTATGCACATACAAATATACATAAACACCGCGTCTGTATACACATATGCATACATATAGACATGTGCATTTATATGTACATATGTATATATGTATATTATATTTTGTTATATTAGATTATATTATATTATATTATATATATATACATATATATATATATACATATATACATATATATATATATATATATATATATATATACATACATACATACATACATACATACATACATACATACATACACACACACACCTACATAAAACAAATATCCTGTTCCGACATAGCGTTTTATCGGCTGACATGCAGGCGTCTTCCGGCATGGACCCACGGAATCGGATCCCACGGATTCTGATGTCCTTAATCCGGCCCGGAAACCGGCCTCCAAATTCTAAACACTACCCAGAGGCTCCATAGTAGTTTTTCCTTATCGGATTCGAAATATGAACCCCAAAAAGGAACTACCAATATGGAGCCTATGGGGAAGCCTGCTATGACATTCATGCTCGAGGGTCTTCGAGAATTTGTTCTCCTTGGTAGGGTTTTTGTTCGGCTGAGGGGAGCAGTCACAGCCTCACTAAATTGATTAATGTAACGGTCCGTTTAGGAATATGGGCTCTTTTAATGCGTCGGCTCCGGGGCTAATTCCGAATCTGACAAAAAAATTGGCTTGTTCTAATTTATGCGTTTTTTTTTGGCTGGGGTGATTTTTTGGTGGCGGGGCTGTGCTATTTGCTGATGGTCAATCTTAAGGCAGCCACGACCTAAACCCCCACCCAAACCCCCACCCAACCCTAAAACCCTGGCCCTGAAGCCCGAAAATCTCTTGCAGAATTGTTTCGCTTATTGGGGCGTCAGGAATGAAAATCTGTACTACTACTGTACTACTACTGTACTACTATTCTACTATACCTTGATTATTGGGGGGGCCTGCTAGGGTGAACCGCCGAATCGGGGATTGGACCCTAGCTCAAAAGAGGCCTCTCCAGTACTAAAGTTTGTATAAAAAATTAAGTTTTGGGTCGAATCTGGACCGACCCCCCTTTGGAAGGGTTTAGGGCTTAGGGTTCAGGGTTTGTTATAGGGTTTAGGAGTGTAGGATTCTTTAGGGTTTAGGGTTCGGGGTTTAGGGTTTCAGGCGCTGGCTTTATGCTTTGCTTATTGGGGGAATGTACTCACTGGCTTTATGCTTTGCTTATTGGTACTATTTCTGTACTATTACTGTATTACTACTGTACTACTGTGGTACTACTACTGTACTACTAGTGTACTACTGTACTACTATTGTACTACTACTGTACGATTACTGTACTACTATTGTACTACTGTACTGTTATCGTACTACTACTGTACTACTATTGTACTACCACTGTACTACTGTTGTATTACTATTGTACTACTGCACTATTATTGTACTACTACTGTACTACTACTGTACTATTATTGTACTACGGTACTATAATCGTACTACTACTGTACTACTACTGTACTACTATTGTGCTACTATTGTACTACTGTACTATTATTGTACTACTACTGTACTACTATTGTACTACCACTGTACTACTGTTGTATTACTATTGTACTACTGCACTATTATTATACTACTACTGTACTACTACTGTACTACTATTCTACTATACCTTGATTATTGGGGGGGGCTGCTAGGGTGAACCGCCGAATCGGGGATTGGACCCTAGCTCAAAAGAGGCCTCTCCAGTACTAAAGTTTGTATAAAAAATTAAGTTTTGGGTCGAATCTGGACCGACCCCCCTTTGGAAGGGTTTAGGGCTTAGGGTTTAGGGTTTGTTATAGGGTCTAGGAGTTTAGGATTCGTTAGGGTTTAGGGTTCAGGGTTTAGGGTTTCAGGCGCTGGCCCAGACCCCCTCGACCCCCGACCGCGCAGTCGCGCAGAACCGCAGACCCTGCACCCAAGCCAGCCCCCAAACCCCGGCACCTCCCAATTCCCTGCCACTCAGACCGACCCCTGACCCCTGTCCGTGGCTACCGGTTCCATATTAAATAGAATTTTTTTTTTGGTCGGGGGGGGGGGGTACCCCACTATTAAACGGCCGTTACATTAGTAGGGTTTTGGGGCCTATACTATAATTACCATAAAGACCCCCCCCCCCCCAACAAAAAAAGCAAAACTTGAACCCTGAAAGCATGCACCCCGCAAAATCTTAGACCTTAGCCCCTGCCGGTCCGCGAAGGTGACGGCAGTAGGTCCCCTCGAATTCACTTGCTGCTGCGCAGCCTGAGTCGGTAGGGCGTGGTAGGGCACATTTTTGGGGGGTTCAGCGTTTGTCTCATGCACATTGACTGGCGGCTGCTGGGCCTGTGCTTGGATATCTGGTTTCTGTTCAGAAGGTCAGGGGTAATTTGGACTTGAGAATCGGACCATGTAGTATTCGGCTCAAGTGTGGTAGATAGCCAGGGCTTGAGAAGCTGAAGGCTTGTGATCGGGGCTAGTATTGAGAGTTATCCGAATGCATGGTAGTAACAAAGACTTTCACAAATGGCACTGCCACCACGGGCAAACAACACCCTCACCGTGACTGGTATTAGAAATGCAACGATGCCAGCACCGGCAGCAAACCAAAAACAAAAACAAAATCCGGTATCTGAATTTAGTTTGCATGGCAACGCGAATTCCACAACTTGCCCCCTTTCAACCAGCTCTCTCACCCATCCCTTCATTGCTCCACTCTGAGACGGATTTAGGCCAAGATACCAACAAAGCGCATCCATGCTTCATGTCTTGCTACACGTGCTATAGTAGCCCTTTGCATGTCATGTTGTCAAACACGAACGATGACCGCGATGTGCCTTCTGCGCCTCACGCCGACGCCTTGCACGGCGCTCGGCGCGACGGCCACTGCGGCTGGGAGTCGTCGCGGTGCTTTTCACCGAACTGGCAAGCGGCTACATGGTTTCTCATACGAACAATAATACTGAATACATCTTCTTGATTTCGGTATTCAGCATTCGCCCAGATCGGCTTCCGATGCCTAGTGCCTTTGGTTGACAGTGTCTTCAGGGCCTACTCTACACGCTGCTGTGTGTTGGTCAGGATACCTGCGTATATCACGACTTTAGATGTGCATCCACATGTGTATCTATGTCTAATCCGCAAATAGGATATGTAGCTACAGCTTTGGTTTCATTCATGCTAAACGGGATTCTGTACTTGCATCATGTTGCATCTGTATTTCTGTTTGTACGCACATAAATGTACAAGCAAGTTTATACATCGAATGTCGTCTTCTTTCGTTTTCTGGTAGACACCGGGTGTTGCATTACCTTTAAGAGAGCGAGTCTGTAGTCTTTGTCGGGCCCCCGCTGCTGTCACTGGAGGTTGCCCAAGGTGAAGCCGATCTAAACCCCAAGCTGCTGAAACATCGCGCACCAACATCCTTCGGACCCTCCCCTGCCCGTAAGAGCTGGATCCGACCATAAAGAAACCCTAACCCTAAACCCCTATAAACCCCTAAACCCTATAAACCCTAAAGAGTAAGAAGACCATCCCGTGCAGGCAAGCAAGCCAGCTCAGCGGAGAGAAGGGCACGTTTCCGTCTGCGTCATTGTAGTCCTCGAATTCCTCCTGCAGGGTGCAGTGGTCTCGGTCTCTGCGAAGCAATTTCGAACAGGGACGGGCAGCGCCCAGGGTTTTGCGAGACCACCTGAAGAAGATTCAACTCCCAGCACAGGTGTTCGCTCAGCTTTCATTTATACACCTGCTTGGCTACCCACCCATGCTGACACCCTCCTTGCCTTGCATGGCGATTTAAGCTTTTTCCGGGAGTTGGAATTCACGCCTTCAGCAAACCCCGTAATTATGGCCATAAAGTATGACCAGCGGCAACGTGTACATTGTAGGCTCCTAGAAGAACCCAAAAGACGGGTCTGGAGCTTCGGTCCGAAGGTTTCCACGAATCTTTCGGGGCTCTGGCATGTGGGAGTTTCCGAAAATAGGGGACCCTAATAAAGTACCCTAAATAATAGGATCCTTACTATAAGACCCCAAAATGAGGTACTCCTAATTATCGGAAACTCCCATGTTGATGCCTACGAGCCCAAGGTTGCAGGCTGCTTCGCTTTTCGGGCTTGGGAGCTCCCACCGGAAATTTGAGTAGAAGCTCGGCTGCCCAAACATGACATGAGTAGGTCCCTAGACCCCGACATCCCCGACCCTAGTCTAATTATTTAAGGCCCCTAGACTATAGTACCCTTGCAGATCCCTTATAGCAGCCCCCTTAGAGACCCCGACATCCCGGAAGACCAGACATGCAGAGCCCCGGTTCTCCTCGTCTTTGATATCCTTGGCCCACGCGGTCAATGAACCCTTAGAAGCCCCATTCCTTTCTACATGGTTTAGGGTTTAGGGTTATCATATATGCATACATTTTCATATGATTGACGGTACTTATGTCAGAGCATAAAGTTTCTTATCGTATATGTTCAATGATAGGCTCCTTGGTCCTTAACCGAAAAGGGCTGGGAGTTTCAACAAGCTTGGCCTGACCCTGAGAGAGTGGAGCCCAACAGTCGGTAAGGAGTGATCCTATATCCCTTAATTAAGGAATATTCCTTATAGGGTTCCATTAAGGAATCTATAGGGTGCCTTTAAAGGATCTATAGGGTTTAGGGGCCTCCGAAGGGCTTCCTACTTGTCGGGTATCATGGGGAACTAAAGGTTAACCTATTTGGTTATATCGGGGTTATATAAGATACTACCCAAAGAAGGGTAAAGGTCACCTACTCCACTACTAGGTGTTCTGGAACCTAGTCTGGCAAACTCGCTGCCTGCCGACCTTCGCTTCCAGCTTCCGACTCGACCCACCGATATGTTAAATATCACAACCTTCTATGCCGCCTCAGCTCTGGAACGCTAAACACCAAATGCAACATAAAGCTCTATGGTGCCCTATGCCCCAAACCCAACAAACACCCCAATTTGCAAACATTTGTAAATTCACGCAATAGCAAAATCACACGCCGCCGAAGCCACATACCCGCAGACAACTACTTAAAGCTAGACATATAGACCGCAATCAGCCCCCGGCCCGGTTTGAGCCCTAAATCCACACTGCCAGTTTCGGCAAGTAGCAGGCCCTGCTCACAAATTGCAACCATCGTTTCTATAGCGACACCTACCCTGAAAGTGCCCTCCCTAAACCCTAATTAAACCCCTATCTTATGTTCAGAAGCGACATTTCTGCCGGCCCAGCAGCGCACCAAGCGACGGATTCGCGCTTCTGCAATGGCAATACCGGCCCTGTCTTCTCTTGCGTCCCGCCGACCTCAACTGTGTGGTGCTTAGTAGGGTATGGGGGAATGGATCGCTACTGCACCCAGAGGCCCCATAGTAGTTCCTTTTGGGGATTACCTCATAAGTTTCTAAATATGAACCCCAAAAAGGAACTACTATGGGGACTGAGGGTAGTCCCAACATAAGCCCCAATAATAGTTCCCATAATCCATTCCACCATTCCCAACGAAGCACCAGAGAGTTACTGATGCTCAACATGCTGGCAACCCCAAATCAATCGCTAGAATCTAGAACCACTGCCAGTAAGATTTCATTAGTAAGTTCTATTACGACGACGTTATTATTCGAAGCAGCGGTCGCAGCAGCAGCAGCAGCAGCAGCAGTAACAGCAGTCGTTGTCGTCATCGCGGTCGTAGTAGTGGCAGTTTTTGTCGTAGCAGTCGTCGTCGTGGCAGCAGTAGTAGTAGTAGTAGTAGTAGTAGTAGTAGTAGTAGTAGTAGTAGTAGTAGTAGTAGGAGTAGTAGTAGTAGTAGTAGTAGTAGGAGTAGGAGTAGGAGTAGTAGTAGTAGTCGTCGTCGTCGTCGTACGTAGTAGCAGTAGTAGTAGTAGTAGTAGTAGTAGTAGTAGGAGAAGAAGTAGACCACAACATGCATCCAGCAGGAGCTGAAACGGGTGGACGGACAATCACAACCCCATGTTAAACGAAATTCAGAACTCTGCAAACTGCCTAGCAAGGAAGCCAAGTGGGCAATCCGGCTGCATGCTGTCTGTGTTTGGCGCAAGATGATGAAACACGATGCATCAAGGACGGACGAACATCTCGAGCGGCATTCAGAGAATAAACCTACCAAAGGCTGATGGTGTCATACATCTGACCTCTCGCGGGTATCGGCATACAGTACACGCATGAGATCCACCGGACAGTGACACGTTCATGCGCATACACAAAGGTAAATGTATGCTGGGGCAATACATGAGACAACCTCCCGCCTCGGAGCAGTTCTCCGATGCACGCGGTGAGTTGTTGCCCGTGGCAGTAGACTGCGTTTCCTCGGGCCGCTAAATTGACGCTTGGGACTTGGGACGAGGGGTCAGCATTGGGACGGGACCGCATGCTTCAGGATGCAGGGTGCTGGGAAGTCACTCGGAGAGTAATGGTCCGGCAAAGTATGTCGATCTTGTTCAAGGCTTCACCCGCCTTTGCCCGAAATCTCGGAACCACCTCTCACCTTTACAAGCCGCTCATCCTGCGCTCAACCTGCAACATCTTCCAACCTAAAACCCCTAAACAATAAACCTGGAATTGGCTGCCACTCTGCAGCGACCGGAACTTTGGTCGCCAATCGATTTACGGCTGAGGCTTCGGAAGAAGTTTGACAATGAATGCCCAAATCTGAAAGAGTGGGGTTTTGGGCTCCTTTTTAATATATGTAAAACAAGGAACCCTGAGGAATAATATTAGTAATCATTTTTTCAATTCCCAACTCTGAAATCTAAGGCATGCTAAACGAAGCATACCCCCCGAGTTAGACCCCTTCTCGCTGCTGAGGTGCGACGGTGGCTCCGTCCGATCTTTTCGCTGAGTCTTTGGAAGACCTTGGACGGCTTGACTGCTCATGCTTCGAAATTCGTTGGGTAACACAATGAAGCTGTGTGTACCGCCGATGAGGTTAAGCTCCACTTACAGCTAGTCTTGCTAAGTGCCCTGTCCCCTTGAACCCTTAAACACGGTTAAGTCAAGTTCAGGTCTCCATGCAAGGATTTGGATTCAGAGGTGGCTAGTGATGGAAACCAACGTGTGCAGCCTCCCACGTTCGGAGCCGAGGTCACGCTAGATTCGACTATGTTATATATATATATATATACATATATATATGTACTTATACTATACGCTGGCAGTTATAAGAACCTAGAAGTAGACCCCCAAGAACAACACCGTATCCGCCATCGACGTGAGCATTCCGACATTCCCTGTAGGTCACGAGTCAAAGAGCCAGAAGTACAGCATCAATGTGGCATCAGCACTCCAGAATTTCGCACGCCTCGTCAAATCGAAATACACCCAAGCACGAACTGCTGAGTTTCCGGCACTCGCTGGGTGGACACGAGTCCCGGAGTCATGGGCTTCATGGTCTCAGGCATCTTCGCACTTGTCCTCGGCTGCTTGCAGCATTGACTTTTTGCAGCATGTCTTGGGAGCATCCTCTACAAGGAAGAAAGGCTCAGATTTATCTCTGAAAAGCACGGCCCCTTTCGTACTTGGAAGAAAGGCCCTGTTGAGGGCGCCAGGCGGCTTTTATACGTTTTCATGTCAATCAGGGGTCCAGTGCTGATTGCTGTGCTATTGGCCTTATCTGCTGGCTAACCCATGAGCCGTAGGGGCCGTGGCATTGGACGTGACGAACACCAAGGGTTGGGTGGAGCTCCTTTGGGCTTCGGCTCAAGCTAATCCAGCCTTTAGCGGCTCCAGCCTGCTGCCTGCAAGACTTCTTTCAGGGAGCGCCGCGGACGCCGAGAAGCGAAGAGTTTGCCAATTTTGCGGGGGCAGCTGCTGTCATGCGTGAGAATCAGGTTGAATCAGGTGCTGCGGAGACGAACCTACTATAACAGCCTTAGAAAAGGTGGGTCTTGTCCGGGAGTCAACAACTCGCATCTCCAACAATCAGCCCGAGGCCGCTCGGCATCGATCCAGCGCATGTATGTGCATGTTATGTTCGGGATTTGCTCCAAGGACATCAGGCACAGCAGTCGCATGGTCACTGACCGGTCGCCACACCCCAAAGCATCAAACTCGAACCCTTAGCCGACTCCCACAAGAAGCCGGGGCTATACAAAGACCATGGCCCATGGCCAAACAAGGGATCCGAAGGGTACCTGTGCCTGGGCCTGGTACAGGACATCAGCAAACCTCTCTCGGCTATCCCTCCAGCCTAAACCCGGAACTGAAGAGCTTCCAAGCGGCCCTGGGGGGAATTGAAATGCCAATTCGTCCACTGCAAATATCCACGGGTGGGTCGCTTGGGCCGACACTGGCTGGCAACGAAGAGTTAGGTGTGCCACATCCGGCATGAGTCTCAGTCTGAAAACAGTGAATTCCGGATGCAGTTCAACTGCAAAGGTCTGAGAACATTAAGGCTCTGTTAAAGCGTGGTGCAGCTACAACTGGAAGACATATATCATATATAGTCTTAATGGTCTTTGGTGCTCTCGTTAGTTTCGTTGGAGAGTATGATTGTTGCTATAGTTAAGGCTTGAATATGGCATCTTCCCCAGCCTCTACTATGCACTGGGACCTTACGTGGCCACCATGCCATACATGCTCCTTCCGGATTCCAACAGGTGTCCTTGAGTTAGGGCTTGTCATGCTGATGTGTCAAGATAACAAACACTGAAATACCAGACAGTCGGGTAAGACAGATTGCGCGGCATGGAATTAGAATTAGGCTTGACCTAACAGGCCATGCGCGCAACAAGGATATCGCCCGAACCTGAAGTGCATAGTTCTACACGCATGAACCGGCATCGCTCGTAGGTGTCTGGGATTCAAGAATTCTTGGGGCCGCACAAAGTACGCCCAGAAAAACTCCAAATTGAGAACTCCTGATACCGCTAAGTGCCCACATCCGACCATGCCGACGACGTGAGTCCCAAATTCAATAACCCTCGTCAGCAAATGACTTCGGGAGAATTTTGGGCTCAGGTTTGAGTGGTCCGAAGCCCAGGTTTCTTGATAAAGGATACCTGGAATCCTTTTGAACAGGATACCTGGAATCCTAATCTTGAGCCGTGACCACAGAAAGCCTACGGTTCGAGGTATCCTTCGGACCGCACTCCCGTCGATGCTGGTCAAGCCAAGCCATGGCAATCTACGCGGCTGGCCAACATGAGAAGGGGCTCTGGCGTGGTTGGGGCTTCATGTGCACGACCCAATTTGAGAAACACACCGACTTTGAACGGGAGCATAGTGGCGATCCTGATATTGGATATTGGCACCCGTCCAGAAAAGAGGGGAAGGTAGTATCAGGGGGTCGGGGTCTACATTGCTCGATCAACAACCGGGTTTAGGATCAACTCTTGCCGAACAAGTGCTCCTGAGAGCCAAGGGCCGGAGGCTTCGACGAGCATGCAGGTTGTGAGCTGTTGTGCCAGACCGGAAAGGGGCAGCTTAGCAAGTCTAGAATTAGCTTGGGAAGTTCAGGGTTGAGGCTGGGATGAAGAGAAGAAGACGCGTAAGCCACATGAACTTTGGGGCAGGTTGCCCCTTCACCTCGCGGTGATGAAGTCGTGCTATCTTCCTCTCAGCCCTCCTAATCTGAAGCGACACACATCTGACCTTGTAACCTGTTATGAGGGCACCCTGACCGTGACATTGTCAATCTTCCAATGCAGGCAACCTCTCCCTGCCGACGAACCGAGAACCTCTCAATGGCATTCTAAATCCATGTTTGCCAAAACCCCTCCACTTAAATAGTAGGATCCTTATTATAAGGACCCCAAAATATGGTACCCCTATTTTCGGAGACCCCCATTCTCGGCAACATCCCGACAGGAGCTGCAACCGATCGCTGCCTCGTCACTTGCACGACACCTGAGGCTGGCCGCACAAACCACGCATCCAATGCAGGGTTTAGGGTTTAATTAGGGTTTAGGGTTTAGGGGTTAGGGTTTAGGGTTTGGATTCTCGGGGGTAGCATGCAGTTTGGACTTATCCAGCAGCAGGTACGTTGAGACAATGCAAACATCGCTTCATTCTCCTGGTCAAATTCCTCGCTCGAAGGTAAATACTTAAGTACTAAGACAGGTAGGCTTCAGACTTTCTTCGAAGATCTTTCGAAGGCTACTATACATGACTCCTCATGTTAAACTGGGTTCCGAATTGACAATGTAGTGTTATGTATCCAGGCTTCATACATTCGATTTGCCTGAAGCATTCGACAGTGTGCAATCCCTCTGGTACCTCGTGTAAGCCTACATCCATCAGAAGCCACGCATGTGTATCTCGGTGTTTCACTGCATTATACCTGCAAGTTGCCTTATGGCAGCAGAGCAAGTCAATATGAGAAGTTAACTGCGAAGGCCACACAGTTTCTGGATGCATGTGCATATCTGCATATGCGCATACACATTCACACAGGCAAACCGGTACAACAGCTCCCTCATGATCCCAAACCCTGGGTCTCGAACCCTGCTCGCTCGTTTGGAAGAGATCTCGCAAGTCAAGCTCAGTTCGACACCGGCTGCAGCAGGAATGACCGGAGAGGGCTCCTGTAGATCTTGAGGTTGGGGGCTTTCCATCTTTGTAACTACACAAAGAAGAATGTTGCTTACTCTGCCTGGGTTCTTGAGCAAAATCAGGATCACTACATCTCTATATTGCTGCGATGCTGCTACAGCTGCAACATCGTCTGTAACTGAAACTGATGCTATTGCGCCACAGTAACCTAGTGAAAAATCTCTAGAGCCGCACATGATGCAGGGATCCGGGGTCGGGACGCAAGCTTCTGCAACTGCTGTTAGGAATTGCGTGTCCAGGATTCTATCGGACAGCGGCTGACGAGAGCTTAGCAAAGCTTCTTTACGACTAACACACTTTGCATTCGAAAGTCACCAGGTAGCTCGTACAGCCCTGACGCTGTGAGCTTCTAGAGAGCCTGAAGGGCAAACCTCCAACACAAACCAAATCGCCAAGCCCTAGTAAAAATCCTTCAAGCCACCCTAAACACAAGTTCGGGCCTGTGTCTTGCCGTCCGCGGAAGGCTGGTGCCTTGACTGTGTACCATAGGGGTGGGTACTGGTGGGTTGATCTCAGCTAATGTAGGAACCTGATTAAGAAACCTTGGGCCTTTAATAGGGTTCCTTATATGAGCTTTTACTATTTTGGGGTTCTAGGCCCCTGGTTTCTTTATCAGGTGCTTACATTATGCCTTCTTCGCCTCACACCCTCGGGCAAAAACGCTCTGAACTTAGGGGCCTCCGCTGCAGCTTTAGTGTGGAGTCCTCCCCGTCTGATGAAAGCTTCATAGTTTAGGGTTTAGGGTTTAGGGGTTTAGGGTATAGGGTTTAGGGTTCTCCGAATCCTCCTTTTCGGTGATTATGTGATTCAACGATGGGCCTGGCATGTTCTGTCCGAGTTGTCGCAACTTCCTCATCTCAATCGAAAGCTCTGAGTGCTCCCAGTCTCCGGGCTGGGGTTACATGTTGGGAAAAGGGGCGCCGTACTCGTGGCACTCTTGTTGAAGTGTAAGCACAAGATGTGCAAGCCCTACTACAAAGGGCCGAAGTTCAGTAAAGAACTATCACCACCCGTGATCTGACCCTTCTGCCTCCACACACCTTCCAAAGATTGGTGAAGCCTCTGTTGACCTTCGAAACCTCGAGGCATTCCGTGTAGAAGCCAGAGCTGCCAAGTGCCCAACATAAGAAGGTTCGGCAGGTTTGCCTGCGAAATCAAGTTCGAGGCACCGGGGAGGGGAGGGGAGGCGAGGGGGGGGTAAGAGGCGGGTCGATTTTCGGTAATTTCTACATAAGCCTGGGAGCTCCCAAAAAAGCCTTGCGGGCGTGGACCTGTAGTTCGGATCAGGCTTTGGATATGGGATTTGGACGTTAGAATCGAAAGCATTGGTGATTGGTCCGCGCATAATCATGTATACGGAGCAGGATCATAATAGGCTACCAAGCCATGTTGTGAAGCAGCTGTGCTGCCGTAGGCAGGTCTGCCCAGCCATTGCATGTACATCATCGAGACTCATACTGTTGGGTGGAGTTCATGCAAATTTAGCTAGGCTATTTCCCACACCTCAAGAACGTGACTTTATATCCTTTACACATCTATCCACTTCACATTCAGTAAGAGCGTCCAGGATCGGCGTGTCGCATCTTCATGCTCTCTGCTCAAAATACTACAATGGGCTAAGTAGTGGGACTGAAATCTGGCTTGCTCTTGCTACAACCAACGAGGCGCAGTACATGCATGCTGCTGCTTTCCAACGGCATGGTTCATGACTGAGTTGCGTTGCTGCTCCCCCGCTGCTCTACCTGTGTATTGTCGTCTTCTCTACTGCAGCTTAGAAGAACACAACCTCAGTTTCGATCAATGCCACGTTAGCCTCTAATTTAATGATTGCGAACGAACCGTGAAACCA